CATATTTTTATGTTTACAAACAATTATTTACATGCGAGTAGAATTCTACCGATTGTTTGATTCATCACAATACTTTCAATACTACTTTGAATCCAAATCACTCGAGGTAATTAATTCTGTTTCACGTACGATAACTTACTAAGCTGTACCGTAAAATCGTGATTGCTGAAGAAGTCTTGATGTGAAATGTTAGGGATTAAATCATCCAAGTTTTATTACGTCGAGCTTTGGATGAAAAGTATCGCATTATCTCGCCCTCTATTATGATAACTTATTATTAGCGCGATTTATTCTCTCTAAAACCACGACAGCTGAAATGTCAAACCAGTGACTCCTCAAATTAACTCCTTAATCCTATAAAACGATTGACTTTGATCATCACCAATCTCACAGCACCAGTGTGTGTAGCTCCCACTGTCCAATTTAGCTTCACATGGTACTCAACATAACTCTCTCGTCATATAAGAAATGTTACTGTAGTATAGATTAATACTTAAAGAACATGTCTAATAGTTTATCGGCACTTTTTTATAAAGTGGCTCATTGTCATGGTTAGTTTTATTTATCGCCATATGAACCGTCAGTGTCATTCTGAGACGGGATATCCTTGTAGTAGCCACCTAACCGAGCATGATACGGGAGGCCCGACATAATTATCCAGAGCAATTAGGGTTAGCGTCTTAACTAGGGGCACAACTATGTCAGCACAGACTGGTAAGGAGTGTTGAACCACGCATCTCGGGTCTTCACCTGGGGTTACGTAAGTCAAGCGACAGTTCTTGCTTAACAAGGAAAACGCTGATATAATGAATAATAGGTTATCCGATCCTCATTAAAGCTGCTCTAATTATTTAGAATATGTTAGATAAGGATTCTGTTTAGCGAAATGTTAAAGTATTGAGTACGTGTTGATCATTTAGAAAAGCATCATATGGGTGTAAGGGTGCTGACGCTGTCTGCTCCAAATAAAAAGTAATGTTTCTTCGAGACAGACGTAAAACTGGTTATCCTATCCATGGATACACTAGAGACTACTTCATCAGCCACGTGTATCTATATCTTTCTAAAACATGATTACGAATTTTTCAATGTGTTTTATTTCCTTAAATCAGTATCTTTTCATCTACTGTATGTTCATGTCACAATAGAGGTAATATTTAAGGACATAAAAATCATTATTTCCTATCTAGAAGTCGACTGATGAAGACCGAATGCATAGAACAAAAGTTGTATGTGATAAGGAATATATATCTATGGTTGTCATTGGTACCTGATTATGGAATCTTTTGATTTACTATCGTCTCCGATACTCCCGTGGAACGTGTCATGGCAAAATCCAAGGCACAAGCGAAGTAATACAAGAATTTGATTGGTCCCAAGAGGAAAAAAATGACCAATCACAGACTGATACGCTCCTTTTGAAGGTTACAAAGGCGCAACACCCAACTTCAAAGCCATAACAGTATACCGTTATGCGAGCTCGAGATTCGTTTGCTGTACATGTATGATAAATTAGTCATTTCGTCCTGTCTACAAGGTGTGTCATTTCGTCCTGTCTACAAGGTGTCACACATGGAAACTTCAATTTTGTCATAACATGTTCCAGGGGTGCAGAGAGATCATAAACCCTGTGCTATCGAGGATGATGTACTATGAAAAGTTTTTGGTTGCCATTAGAATTCAATGTTATTCCATTGCTACAACCCCATTTCTAGTATAGATATCGCGTCGTTACAGGGACGCGTCTTTGTTGACAAATTAATTCCATGAAGCAAAAGATGCTTACTGTTAGTGAAAGCCTGGTCTGCGCGTACCTTGTCAAATAGTTTTGTGCAGCTTGTTGTTTTTTTAATGCTTTCCTTAAATGTAGGGTTTTAGTGTTTAAATTGCAGCTTTGTTTACATCTAGACATTTTCCATTTTTTCTTTATTATCTTCGGTTATTTTTGTTTATTCTATACATCCATAGAGCATATAAATAAATGAATTCCCAATCGTCTAAATTATTATATCAATATTTAGTTACACGTGCATTTTTACAATTAACATTTTCAAGGGGAAGGCTAATGCTGCTGTTTCGTTACAGGAAAATCATAGGCGTTGTATCTAGTAATTGATGCATTTTTTCAGTAAAAATTCTAAATGGGTGTATCTCCGCGTTTTATTTTTTAAGTGAAATTTACTAATTTACTACTGTAATGAGTACTGAGACAACCTAGTGTCGACCCGACCTGTCCATTGTTAGATCACCAAGACAGTCTATGCCTGAAAAATATGACGCGCATGACCACGCCAAATTGTTTTTCCGAGGTGCTATCTTTTGTTTGAATTTCATGAAAATATATCACTTGTGTAAAATGATACTGGTTCTGTTTGGTATGAAAAGTACACGTGGCGATGACCACTCAGCGGAATGACCACTACGACAATCGGTACCTTAAATTAATGATTTTTTAAATCTTGTTTCATTATTAGATAATTTATTCAGACGACAAGTACGGAACTTAATTTAAATTGATAGTATGAGCAGTTGGACATGTATTTAACACTTCGGGCGTCTATGTATAAAATATATATTTATATTCAGTGACCACGAGGGCAGGTGACGGCCGCGTGACAACCATGCCATTTTAATGAAATAGGACATTTATCTAACAGTTTTTAATTATAAGAAATATCGTTAGTTTACAGGTTTAGTTAATTATGCATTAACCCCAGCCTCACCTATAATTGAGGCAGTTGGTTCCATGGCTATCCGGATTAGATATCCGAGTTCATATCATACGGTATAACAAATGTACATTTTGTAAATCAAGGAATACTGACCACAGTAAACAGCTGCAGAAGACAGGAAAGACATACAATTATTCAACAGAACGGATATTTATTTCTCTTTGTTTGTCTAAAAATTTCACTGGGCTGTTTTAACATATAGTTTAAGACGATAATTTAAAGCATTGTTTAATAAAATGTAATGGACAGCGAAAAAATCTCAACGTCCACTTTTGTAATGAAAATTTTCGTTTTGATTTTATTTGCATTCTTTGGAACATTTTTGAGAGTGGGACGACGATGCAGACAGCGAAATCAAACTTAAATGCTTAATTCTATCTGTAAATTGTTTGTAAATTGTTAAAAAGATGTTGGACATAAAATATTTCTTACCGAATTGGAAAAATGTGGCGACACTGAATATATCCAACAAAGTCAAAGACCAAAATGTGGTGATAATGATTAATTTTATAAAAAGCAGAAAATGTAGGAATATGAAAGATTCCCCCCCCCCCCCCCCCCCCCATTATCTCCAGAGTGACCCCTTAAGCTGGTGGATTTTAGCATTGTTTTGTTGCAAATTTAAAAGCTAAAATACACATAAAAACTTTGTTTTCAACCATGTTTTTTGTAAAATTGCTCAAATTGTGATGATGACAATAGTAAATGCAAATTGCAAATCATTACTAGACATGATAAAACTTCTGAACTTTTGATACCAGCAACCAATGCTGTAAGTGAACGGCCAGCATGAGAATTAAGCAGAATCAAAACCTATCTGCAATCAACAATGACACAACAACGTCCGAACAACTGCATGCTACTTCATGTCCACAAAGAGGCGACTGCATCTATTAATTCGAGTTGATGTTGCAAATGAATTTGTAAACAATGAACCGTGAGAGGGTATTTGGAAAGTTCACATCAGATGACTGATTATGCAAAGTTCCTTTGTTCGATAATGTCAAGTAAATCTTTTCATATTATGAAGATTGAAATATTTCAACGATATGATTCAAAGATTGTCACAGAATTGTGTTTTGTCAGTACAATGTATATGATATGATGTAAACCGACCTGCTAAAACTTAACTATCATTGAATATTAAATATCATCTGTAAAATTTGCAATTTTTATTTTTATTTTGACAAAATTATTGGGGGCCTGATTAAGTATTGTTATTTTACGGGCCCATCAAAAATTTAACATTAAAGCTACAGCGGCCAATTTATAATTGCGGAATCACGGCATGGTTTTCTTGAATAAGACCTCTTTTAAAAAAGTCTTCTCGAGATCCACCATTGAAATTCAGCTCCAACTTGTCTGAAATGATGATGAGATGGTCTTGACCAAGTGTTGTTTTTTTCCGGTCGATCCTCAATCTATTACAGTCTTATTGAAAAACACGCCTTGAAATTAACTTTTCCAGTTTCACTTAAAAAATGAAATGGATAGGGATTGCGCAGAGGATTTTGAAGTAGTCAATAGAGTTTTATCGGTCGTGTACAACCTTTTCTATAAGTACATTTAGCTTCCTCATTCATTGCCGTCAAGCCCAAACTAAGGATGCACTTGTTATGTGAGGTCAGAGCTATTTATAAACCATCTCGATGGCTTCACAAAAACACAAACGGCAGTACAAAGGCAGCCGTTAAAACACTGGAGCATATGTTACGAAAAAATATTGCAAGAGCTTACATTTTCAATGAACTTATCGTGAAAGTTTAATTGAGATATTCAAGGAAACTTATGAAAAGATATGAAATATATCAGGGATGTGTCATGGACTTCATTATCATGAAGATATTGATGGACACATGCCAATGGCCTCATAATTTTATCAATATATGACTAACCCTTTTTAGTGAAAAAGTTATCATAATGATCCTAGTACCTACAGTGTATATACTATACATATAAAAAAACTCACAATAAATCAAATATTTCACTCCTTATAAACAAAACCGAATATTCAGAAATCGCAATTATAGTTTTAAAAACAAGACGAGTCATTTCGAATTAAGATCTTTTATTTATTTGACGGGTTTTACGTTCGTTACTACGGCCTTACAGTGAACGAGAATTAAGATCTAAATTGTTTTTCTTTAAATATGAAACGTTTACAAGTTTTTACCTGCGTCTTATCAACAATGTTCAAGTCATGAAGGCGGGAAGATATTCGCGCATGCGTAATATATGTAAACAAACATGGCGTTGAAATATTGCAAGATGTAAACACAAGAGACACTTAGAACTGATTGCTATTTCAAAGCTTCCTTCTATAAACCGTTCCGTGTTTTTCTTTGTGTCACAATAACGCTTCATAATGCTAGATCTTGAGGTAGTTCCAGAGCGTTCATTGGGCAATGAACAATGGGAATTCGTTCTAGGTGAGTCACATATTCTGTGTCGCCATTTCTTCATCAGTTATCAAGTAAGATCAACAGAAAAGTGTTAATTTTACTGTAATATATGAAGCAGTTCAAATAAAAAAGATAAAGTAAGCACCTCTCCGACCGTAGATGGCATTGATGTAATGACAGTTGTCGGAGTTATATCATTTAGCTAAATCTATTCTTCACAACGTAGAAGATAATCCAAAGGTGAAGGTCAATGTCTTCACAGCTGATACGTTTTGACAGTTGTCCATTTGGTTACGTTTGCCTTTTAAGCTCGCAGCTGATTTTATAGCGTTTGGTGGTTCCCAATACTGATTATGTTTCTGAAACATTATATATATATATATATACTTGATTAATTTTGCAAACGCATCGTACCATATGATGCAATGTAAATATAAGGAACTAGATCTACATGTACATTTATGATCAGAACTCGCCAGAGACATGAATAAACGTATATTTAACCATTTATATCTTAGTCTGTCATACTCATATGACCACAAGTTGGACAATTTAATATTTAATATCAACAAGATGCATATCATAATTTTCTCACAATGAAACAACTTAAGATTTTTGTAGTAGTGGATCAGGAGTGTTGCAGACTGTGAGACACACAAAGAAAATAAAAGCCTCCAATTGCCTTTAATAACTTAAATAATTGTTTGATTGACATGATAATAATATTTTCTAAAACAATTGTATTTCATATTAAACATCTTATAATTTCCTAAATGTGTCATACGAATATGCCCATTCATGGGTGCCAAATGTATGTGCAAGTTAGATGGTTAAAATTAATACAAGAAACTTGTTCAAATTGTTTGGCTTACATGCTGGTAACTACTGTCCAACCCTCTTTAATGCCTCATGGAAAAGTTTGGGGGATGCTTATAATTCAGATCCACCAGTATTCCGTTTGTCCTCATCAGGGCGTGGAATTTTTTGATGTACCATGGTAACAAAGCTATATGTTTTTTGACAGGTATGCCATTCTACCAAGCAGTCAGCATCCTTAGGCGTCAGGACCGTGTGATTAAAGGTGTACAAGTTTGGTATAGTCAACAGGTAAGTACCCTGAGATGTTAGGACATAGTGATTAAAGGCATACAAGTATAGGTACAGTCAACAGGTTATAGTACCCTGACATGGATGTTAGGGCTGTGTGATTAAAGACACACAAGTTTAGTACAGTCAACAGGTTATAGTACCCTGACATGGATGTTAGGACTGTGTGATTAAAGACACACAAGTTTAGTACAGTCAACAGGTTATAGTACCCTGACATGGATGTTAGGACTGTGTGATTAAAGACACACAAGTTTAGTACAGTCAACAGGTTATAGTACCCTGACATGGACGTTAGGACTGTGTGATTAAAGACACACAAGTTTAGTACAGTCAACAGGTTATAGTACCCTGACATGGATGTTAGGACTGTGTGATTAAAGACACACAAGTTAAGTACAGTCAACAGGTTTTAGTACCCTGACATAGATGTTAGGACTGTGTGATTAAAGACACACAAGTTTAGTACAGTCAACAGGTTATAGTACCCTGACATGGATGTTAGGACTGTGTGATTAAAGACACACAAGTTTAGTATAGTCAACAGGGTATAGTACCCTGACATGGCTGTTAGGACTGTGTGATTAAAGACTCACAAGTTTAGTGCAGTCAACAGGTTATAGTACCCTGACATGGATGTTAGGACTGTGTGATTAAAGACTCACAAGTTTAGTACAGTCAACAGGTTATAGTACCCTGACATAGATGTTAGGACTGTGTGATTAAAGACACACAAGTTTAGTACAGTCAACAGGTTATAGTACCCTGACATGGATGTTAGGACTGTGTGATTAAAGACACACAAGTTTAGTACAGTCAACAGGTTATAGTACCCTGACATGGACGTTAGGACTGTGTGATTAAAGACACACAAGTTTAGTACAGTCAACAGGTTATAGTACCCTGACATGGACGTTAGGACTGTGTGATTAAAGACACACAAGTTTAGTACAGTCAACAGGTTTTAGTACCCTGACATGGACGTTAGGACTGTGTGATTAAAGACACACAAGTTTAGTACAGTCAACAGGTTATAGTACCCTGTCAGGAATGTCAGAACTATATAATTAAGGTGCTTTACTGACCATAACTCTGAAATGCAGCACAGTGGAGATCCAATAGATAACGGGAATGATTATGAAATTTTAGCATGTGTCACTCCAAATCAGTTTAGCAGGATACATAAGTGAACCTGATAATAAACAGTTTCATGTAAGTTTTGGGAATATAGGAAGATAGGAATATTTTTTAGTTTCATGCTGGTAGGAATAAAAAACTGTTTGCTAACTTATCATGAAAACACGACTGAATGAATGCGCTACTAGCGTATTCATGATGATGTTTACAAAAGATTTTTTTCATTCATACCAGCATGAAACAAAAAAATTCCTATCAAAGCTTTTAATTAATCTCTTATATAGGTTTCAAAAACAAAAATAGCTCATAAGGGTCAAGATTTAATAATTTGACGACATATTATTTATAACAAATCACTACACATAACAGCTAACTTGACATGACCTTATGTCATTGGCAAATAATTCACACCATTTTCATTCATTCAAAATTCATCATGAGTGGTCCCATCACATTTCTAATAGATATGTGTAAAAGTATAAAACAACATATTTCCCTTGATAAATCTGTTATTTATTGTTTGTGTACATTGTAAGATATTAGAATATTTCATGATATTGTAATCGTTTTTTTGTTGTTTACAACATTGAATGACAGTGATTCACACACTACGTGAATGTAAACAGGTATTCCATTCATATAAAAAGGAAGTTCCAACAGACAGCCACAAGGTTGTGTGTTGCCATTAACTCCTCAAATCACTATCAAATGGGCAAAACTAGATTTTTTTTATTGAGAAATGAAAAGAAAAACTTGACAAATCAGAAAGCTGCATTTTGTGTACAAACAAAGAAAAATTAATTATTTCAATATGAAGCAAATTTACTTTGAGAAATAAAGTTCGTAAAAATGTGTCATTTGTTAATACCTTGTGACGAAATATGCCACTAGTTTCTATATGACAACAAAAGCCATTGTAAATCTACAAATATGAGGCAGTCCAAGATGAAAACTTACATATACAATTAACCACTTACATTTTTGAAAAAAAAATTAGAGGTTTCTTTCAGCACTTTTAAAGCTCATCTGGTTTGAAGGACTGGTGAGCTTATGTCATAGTTTAGCACTCGTTCAGTGTCCAACCTCCTTTGTCAACTTTTTATCTAAAAATTACTCCTAGTCATAAAAAACCTATTATGATAAGCTGTTTTTGAACAAATTTTGTCACAAGCATCTTTAGTTGTATAAATGATGAGTCTTAGTCCCAAAGGTCCTGAGAGATGGGGCCCAAAAGGGATATTTAGCAAATTCTCTAAGATCTCTCTTCTTTTGTAGAAATGACTGGATTTTGTCCAAATTTGGTTGGAAGCATCCTTAGCTGAAAGGAAATTAGTTTTGTTTGAATGGTTTGTTTTAGCCCCCAGTGCCCCCTAGCATTCTTCCTCTTCTATAGAAATGTCTTGATTCTCTCCGAATTTGATCTGATGCATCCTTTAATGAAAGGGTATCAATTTTGTGTAAATTGTAGGTCTGGACCTCTTTGGATAGGGCCTGATAAGGGAAACAGAACAAATTCTTTAAAATCCTTTCTTAAGAAGGAATACCAGTTTTTTGTTTGTGATAGGTCTGAAGAATAATTTATTAAAGAGGAATCAGTTTTGTGTAAGTTGTGGGTCTTGAGACCCTGAAAGGGAAATGGAGAAATAGTTTTGAAGTCCTTGTGGTGGAATGAAGGTTCTTTGTCCAAATTTGGTCTGAAACATCTTTGGGTAATTGTGAATCTGGAGACCCTGAAAGGGAAACAGAAAAATAGTTTTGAAGTCCTTCTCCTGGTAGGATCAAGGTTCTTTGTCCAAATTTGGTCTGAAGCATCATTGGGTAAAGAAAAACCAGTTCTGTGTGAATGGTTGGTCTCAGTCCAATGGGGCAATAGAGATAGTGACCAGAGGGGAAATATAGGAAATTCTCTGAGATCCCATCTTTAATAATTCATCTGATTCCTCTTGGAGCAGAAAGGCATGGCCAAATAAGAGAAAAATAAATCTTCATGCAATTTCAGTAAACTCGAGCGTGAGTAATACAGGCCACATAAGCCGTGGCCAGTTGATTTTGCTTTGGTCTAGTTAGGTTTATAGTTAGCTAAACTGTTGGACTAGTTTCAAAATAATTTGCAGGGGAAACCCTTGAATCCCTGTTAAAAGCCTCTTCTCCTTGTTCATGTCCATGAAAGATATGATAACTCAAATAAAAATAGTTGATTGGTAGATTAACATTTTGGATGATAAAAACACAATGAGAAATAAATGGTTAAAATCTGTATGAGATGTTTCTAAATTTGTAATATCATGAAAAAAAAAAGTAAAAAGTTATAGAACATTACAAAATTATTTATAGTGTGGTCTTGTAAAACTAGAAGATGATAAAATCCAAGAGGACTGACATACTGTAACCAGAAATGTTTGTTTTTCTTTTACTGAGGTAGAATTTGATTTTGTCATCAGCTCTCTGCTAAAATTAGGCATGATGGATGTAACTGAATTGCTATTGTTTTGAATGGCGATGTGTAAGGAATGATGAGACCATTAAAGTCGGAAGTTTGTTTCAACATTTTAATATTAGGATACAATCCTGGTCATTGGAGATATCACAATAGACAAATATCACAGTCGACAAATAACACAGTCGACAAATACCACAACAGACAAATAATACCACAACAGACAAATATCACAGTAGACAATTATCACAATAGACAAATACCACAACAGACAAATATCACAGTAGACAAATACCACAACAGACAAATATCACAGTAGACAAATACCAAAATAGACAAATATCACAGTAGACAAATACCACAACAGACAAATATCACAGTAGACAAATATCACAATAGACAAATATCACAGTAGACAAATAACACAGTCGACAAATACCACAATAGACAAATATCACAGTAGACAAATACCACAACAGACAAATATCACAGTAGACAAATACCACAACAGACAAATATCACAGTAGACAAATATCACAATAGACAAATATCACAATAGACAAATATCACAGTAGACAAATACCACAACAGACAAATATCACAGTAGACAAATACCACAACAGACAAATATCACAACAGACAAATATCACAGTAGACAAATATCACAATAGACAAATATCACAGTAGACAAATATCACAACAGACAAATATCACAGTAGACAAATACCACAACAGACAAATATCACAGTAGACAAATACCACAACAGACAAATATCACAGTAGACAAATATCACAATGAACAAATATCACAGTAGACAAATAACACAGTCGACAAATACCACAACAGACAAATATCACAGTAGACAAATATCACAGTAGACAATTATCACAACAGACAAATATCACAGTAGACAAATATCACAGTAGACAAATACCACAACAGACAAATATCACAGTAGACAAATACCACAGTAGACAAATACCACAACAGACAAATATCACAGTAGACAAATATCACAATAGACAAATATCACAGTAGACAAATATCACAACAGACAAATATCACAGTAGACAAATATCACAATAGACAAATATCACAGTAGACAAATACCACAACAGACAAATATCACAGTAGACAAATATCACAGTAGACAAATATCACAGTAGACAAATAACACAGTCGACAAATACCACAACAGACAAATATCACAGTAGACAAATATCACAGTAGATAAATAACACAGTCGACAAATACCACAACAGACAAATATCACAGTAGACAAATATCACAACAGACAAATATCACAACAGACAAATATCACAGTAGACAAATATCACAGTAGACAAATATCACAACAGACAAATATCACAGTAGACAAGAAGTTTTGCCTTTGAGCTTCATGTATATTCATGTGAAGGGATTTTTCTCTTGATAAAGTTATAATCACAAAAACTTGAACAAGGCTTAAAATGAAACATGTATATACCTCTATAAAACTATTTTATTACTCCTCTGTAACATTCTAGCTTTTATATAAAGACGTACCAATGTCATAACACTTTGATCAGACTTTAATGATAGAAGGTGAGTCGAATTAATGTCATTTTGGTTGAAAGTAAGCAACACTAATATTATTGGTCAACCAACCCTAAGGTGTGAGATTTATCTGATGTACATAACAATAAAGTCACCAGGACCGTGTATATTTCATGTTTATTATACAGGTTTCATAATAAAAATGTTACAGATATATTATTTTACAAAAATATTTGATATTCTAAAATTTACAACATTAATGGTAAATAAATATGTATCCTATTAGTGAACCTATAGGGAAACTTAGGTTAGTTGGGAAAGTATTTACCAATTAAATTGTTTATTAACATCTAGTTGCTGTAATGAATTACAACGTTATTTCTTATGTGCATATACAATTAAATTGCTGCCATGTGTAAATGAAAAAAAAATCATTGAGCACAGTTCATAGCCCGTTTAGTTACTTGGTTAGGGTTCTACATGCTTACTTGTAAGAATATACAACAATATGGCTAAAACCTTTTTTTAAAGCTTCAGAACTTGTAGAGACATCATACTGGCATTGCACAGATGGTGGCATCAGATCTCGTTTTTTCTTTTTCTCAAATTTCAGGAAATCATATAATGACCAATACAATTGGTCCTAAATGCATATAATGGACACTGTCATGGTCAAGTGAAGACATTAAAGTAGGACGATCAAATTTCACCAGTCTTGATATCTTTGTCCACTTGTGTTAAGATCATTGTGTTTGTGTCCTTGTTTTGGTCAATAGCTAGCAAAATATTATGTTTTTTGGTTTCTGTGGGAGGACTGGACAAAGGGGTAGGGGTTATTACTAGCCATATTCTGTTAGTGTCCAGTTGGAGGTATTGACAGCTGATTGTCTGAGGGCAGTCAGAGATATTCATTATGGTATTTGTCTAGGCAGATTAGTACAAGAACATGTAAAACAAGGTGAAATAAAGGATTACTTGCCAAGAATAGCTGATGTGAAAAAACAATGTGATGGTTTGTTTCTGTCGTTGTATTGATGGATGAACCAACTGTTCTCTGTACATCCTTTAGTTTGCTGAATATGACTAAGGAAGAAACACTTTGGTCTTAATGAATAAACTTAAATCAGCTATGTTAGTGCACCGGTATATAATGCTGATAGAATTGAAGTACAAATCTAGACATCTTGATATTAATTCTTGCTTTCTAGTGCCATAGTTCCAGAGGTTTGATGGATTTGGAAATTTCATCAAAAGTTCTACTTTCCTTTAATTGAATTTTTATAGATAATTTGATATAGTTATTTTTTTATGTTGGTGAAATCTTTTTGTAATCATAGACATAATAATCCCTTAATTTGTTTGCTTGGTTGATCGTCATGAACAGTCCAGGTCATTTTGAAGCGGGTCTCCTTGTTGTAAATGGTGGCTGCCTCAATAAACAACATAAAGGAGACCCATTACATGCCATCCGGAACAATTAGGTTAAAGTGTCTTACCCAAGGACACAACCTCAACAGCACAGATAAGTCAGCTTTCCGGAACAATTAGGTTAAAGTGTCTTACCCAAGAACACAACCTCAACAGCACAGATAAGTCAGCTTTCCAGAACAATTAGGTTAAAGTGTCTTACCCAAGGACACAACCTCAACATCACAGATAAGTCAGCTTTCCAGAACAATTAGGTTAAAGTGTCTTACCCAAGGACACAACCTCAACATCACAGATAAGTCAGCTTTCCAGAACAATTAGGTTAAAGTGTCTTACCCAAGGACACAACCTCAACAGCACAGATAAGTCAGCTTTCCAGAACAATTTGGTTAAAGTGTCTTACCCAAGGACACAACCTCAACAGCACAGATAAGTCAGCTTTCCAGAACAATTAAGTTAAAGTGTCTTACCCAAGGACACAACCTCAACAGCACAGATAAGTCAGCTTTCCAGAACAATTAAGTTAAAGTGTCTTACCCAAGGACACAACCTCAACAGCACAGATAAGTCAGCTTTCCAGAACAATTAGGTTAAAGTCTCTTACCCAAGAACACAACCTCAACAGCACAGATAAGTCAGCTTTCCAGAACAATTAAGTTAAAGTGTCTTACCCAAGGACAGAACCTCAACAGCACAGATAAGTCAGCTTTCCAGAACAATTAGGTTAAAGTGTCTTACACAAGGACACGACCTCAACATCACAGATAAGTCAGCTTTGTAAGAAACACAAACAGCTACATGTTGGGAATGTTGAACTGCACACCTCAGGTGTTTACCTGGGGTTGTGGAGGCCCTACTGACTGAGCCATTATGACCCCTTTAATATCCTGAAATCAGGTGTACATTATAAAGCCTAATAGACTTTCACCTTCTGTTTGTTGACATGAGCTGTAGTTTAGATTAATGCATTGATTTTGCTAAGTTTATCATTCTGTGGACAGCCAAGCTCATTTTGAGGTACATCGCTTTGTGGAAGATGGTGACTTGCCCAAGGACACAACTAGTTATATAGAACAAGCTCAAAAATTGTGAATAACACCTTTAGCATTTCTGGTGGTGTTCCTCTTCTAGTAAGGTCACTCTGTTTATAATCTGTGTTATTTATAATCTGTGTTGTAATGGCATCTCTCATAAAGTATTTGATTTCAAAATTTTGTTTTGATGTGTAGATTAATCAAAACCACCATATGGAATAGGACCTAGATGTAGGAAGAGTCAGTCCACCTATTCATACTTATTTCTTTTAATGGGAAACAGCTAATCCATTTAGATAATACCGCAATCACATTTTCTTGTGACAAAGCACCAAGCTTTAGCCTAAATGTACTGACTGAGATTTTGTTGTATTTTCAGTATCCACTACAGATGGATCTTGTTCTGAACCTTTCTCATGATGGTATTCGTCTTATCTTCGATCCGGTATCACAGCGACTTAAGGTAAGTCTCTGCCATTATCTCATGTCAAAATGGTGGAACTTTAATAATTTTCTGAGTACAAAGCTATGAGATAGTTTTGAAATTTGGCATTGTTTCATCTTTTGATTTGAATTTTTAAATTTTGGATAACAGTTGTGCTCCACAACTTGCATTCCATGTTGATAAAAAGTCATATTTAGTTTATTTAGCGTATACTAAATCTAAATAATTTGGAAGCTTCAGCCTGGAACCATTTGTTACATTGACTGATATTTAATGGTCTGTTTAAACAAAATTGATGATAAAATAATGAAAACAGAGGTTAAGGGAGTAGATGTACTTTTTTTAATTGATAAAAAAAAAAAAAAATGAAAAATGTCAGTGTTGGTTTTGATGTGTTGACCATGGTTACCACATGTTTGCTCATCAACGCAGAAACCTTAACAATACCCAGTAATATGAGAGATAGTCATTTCTCATGTTATTACATTACCGCAACAAGCATTGTGTGGTTTTAGTTATCAATTAAGACTTGACAGCATACATTCATGTAGCCCGTATACTAAGGGTCAGCAGTGGACAAAAGTTTGAGATCTCGGCTGTGATCCTGTCCATCTGTAGACTCCTTCTTCAAGCCTTGTTAGGTCAAATCTCTATTCTATAGCTTTTGTACTGCAAGCTTCAAAAATCCTTTACTCAAAGGTTAGTCTAAGAAATTCTGAACAAATAAGGGAATAGTACTGAAAGGATTAGCTTCTGAAAGATTCTAAATTAGTGATTAAAATAATCATAACACACCATATACCCAATATGTATTAATTCCCTTGTTTCCATTCACCCCATTGATCATGGAATTTTCAAGCATATTTGGAAATTTTACCAGTAGAACTTAACCAAGTTTCATTTATTTTACAGGATTCCAGAATTGATGGTAATTAAGGTGAAACACTAAAGAACAGTCCATAGATTTGTTGATAGGTCAAATTACATAAAAAAAACCCTGACATATTAATTTTTTAAATTTAAATTTTGATAGAACAAGACTTCATGACTCTGAAATTTGTTGATGTTCTCAGAACAAGTCTTTGACTAAGTGTGTTTATTGAAGTTGTGTCCCTTAAACATGAACTCAATAGTGGATAAGAGATCTGGATATGATGTATACACATATTATGTAGTTATCTTATGTTATCCTCTCACGATTTTAAAGTTGGAGAGGATACGGTTGTCATAGACCATACGTAATGCCTAAATTAGGTAGCATTCAAGGATCTTCATTCCTTGAGGGATTTAAGATTTTCATTCCTTGAGGGATTTTGATCAAATATCATTCGCTTATAAAGGATCATAACCATTATTGATAACATGACAAATAGATTTTTTAAATTTTTGTCCCAAAACTTTCAAATGAAACTGTTATTTAAGAAGAAATCCAATAGGTTTTTTTTTGCTGGTACTAGAATTGGGGTGTTGAAGTCAAGTGGGTGGACTGGAAAAGATTGAAAGCTAACTATACACCAGTGTGTATACTGCAACACCATCCCTCAGTCCTTTCACCAAGTAAACCATCAATACATTACACTGAACTGTCAATACATTAGGGCTGTCCCCGTATGAGGTCGTGGAACAGTCTTGATTAGCTGTGTTGAGTCAGTGGAGACTTGGGATAAATGGTGGTCAGTGTGGAGGAAAGTTAGCGGGTATTACAGGGGAGGTCATTGGGGTGGACACCGTGACACACCCCCTCGTAATGGATGACTTTTATCTCTTTTTTTATCAACTCCAAACTGCTGGCTTCACCAAATTAATCGGTTTTCACCACCATGTATCAAATTTCAGCCCACATTTTTTCTGGGTGTTTGACCAAATGTTGAAGCATTTTTGTTATAAGACTTTAATTTGTTGGGTTTAATTATGTTATGGGACATTTGATGTCCGTTTATATGCTGTGTCCAATAAAAATTTACTGTCTTTAGGTTTACTATCAGGAGGTGATTACAAAATAACAAACAAGATTGCTTTTGATGCTTTTTGGCAAAGAATTCTATGTGACCATAAATGGGCTTTAAAGCATTCGTTCTTGTAAGAATTTATCACAAATTCTGACCTCTGAAGAAAATGTTGATGGTAGAGAATAAATCTGAAAAGAAATGGTGGTGTTTCTCGATAAGACCTGCAAACAAAACATACTTGGTTTGTCTGAAATGAATTTGGAAGTTTGTGACATTGTCCTTCCAATGTTGTTTTCCAGGTAATATTGGTCATTTCCAAGAGCTTCAATGTTAATTAGATGTAATAAATTATAGATAAGATCTCTCATCCCAAGGTGTAATAAAACAGAGACAACTAGTAATGTGTGGATGCTTGAGGTATCTTGTTTTTTATCTGTCATTGTCTCTAAAGGAAAGTGAACATCGATAATCAGCTTATGTCCATTTGTTGATTTTTGGACTGATTTGAAAAGATTACGGCTTCCCCCTTAAATTGAATTGGTGGAGATATTTTTGACTTTCATGGGGTTTTTATAGATATAACTGATGTAAGTATTAGCAACAATTAGTATACCACTTTCCAAAGCTGAATCCTTCAAGTTTAAGACAGGTAAAACAGAAGTATGGGATATAATCCTAAGTGAATGTGAACATGTAGATATGATTTATGTGTGTACAATCATCGATATAAATAGTTGTGCATACTGTGCTGTCTTTTCTGTAGAATTGACAGTCTATTTTTTGCAATTAATGCCTGGCACATTTGGTGCAAATAAAACATATTTATAGGGAACAGCTGGTTTTCCTCCCTCACACAAAAGGATCACTTGAAATCTCGGTAGGTAGCCAATTGATGGATATGTTCTAATGGGGGGGAGGAAAACAAACCTGAAATGTGATCCCTACAATTCTGTGGCCTTGCTTCTGCATGACACCAGGGCGCAGGGATGTCAACCTCCATAGCATCCCCAGACACACTCGCCTTGTACAATGTACCACACGAACAGTTGGACGTGACCATATAAAACAGATTCATCATCAGGCGTATCTATCTATTAAACGCCAACATTTGTAATTAAGTTATTTTGTACGTCACACATGAAAGTCATGATGACATGACTAACATTGTGGATTTGTTTCAGTAATAAAACATTTTACAAGCGATACCAAAGAAATGATACAAGGTTATTTATAAACTGTCAACATTTACAATTGATTTGTATAAGTCAATGTTTTAGATGTTCTATCAACATCCAACTAAACTATAAATGAAAGCGAGGGGTTTGCCTTCAAGTCATTGTTTCTGTTACTATGTTATTATGATGACTTGTAGATTAATGGTTCTGAAGACTTTTGTTTCAGAGACGATGGTTCTCTTAGTTTATATATAATTTGTTAATTGGTACCTTAACATTACATGATTTATCAAAAGATTTAAACGTAAAAATCATGGATGTTTGTTTTTACTAAATTATTTGTTAGAAATGAGTTTGGAAAACTCAATATTAACCAAATTAAAAATTTCCTTATTATTTATTAGATATAAACATCAATATTACAGGTAAACAAGAGATTATTTATTAGATGTATACATCAATATTACAGGTAAATAAGAGATTATTTATTTGATGTATACATCAATATTACAGGTAAATAAGAGATTATTTATTTGATGTATACATCAATATTACAGGTAAATAAGAGATTATTTATTAGATATAAACATCAATATTACAGGTAAACAAGAGATTATTTATTAGATGTATACATCAATATTACAGGTAAATAAGAGATTATTTATTTCAATATTACAGGTAAATAAGAGATTATTTATTAGATGTATACATCAATATTACAGGTAAATTAGAGATTATTTATTTGATGTATCCATCAATATTACAGGTAAATAAGAGATTATTTATTTGATGTATACATCAATATTACAGGTAAATAAGACAGCTTTCTTTATTATTTGACATATATATTGTGTTTTACTTATTCATAAACCTAACATAATTACCTATGTTATACATCTGATTCTAGTTATATCATTATCACTCTTGTTGACGTTAGTTGGAGAACATAAGGAACCCTATTATAGAAGGAACCAGGGATAACAAGACATGTGTTACCTTGGTCACTTAGAAGATAAGAGAGTGTGTTTCCATCCAATTTTTATTTACTTTCCTGGAAAGATATACAAGGGTTGTGATAAATTATGAATCCAAAATTTTGATCAGCAGTATCTGTATAGAAATATCATTATATACTGTTCTTAAAAGGATTTTTTTTCATATTTGAAGAATTATTAACATGGGGTGTTTAGGTTTTTTTGTAGTATATTTCTTAATTCAAGATTTCTTAATATAGAAAAGTTTTTTAATCTTTTATAGCAGAATGGCCCTTTCATAATGGTATACCATCATGTAAACAGTTACTGTGAAGCATGATCCCATGGTTATTATATAGCATTGAACAATTTTCCCACCTTTTTCAGTATTGTTTTTTTAGTGGCTGTTTAGGTTCTTTAGTTAGGTATTAAGGTAACGAGAGGCGTTAATAGTTATCTCAGTGTATACCATCAAATTACCATCCATCCGTGAGACTTTTGTGTCAATGCTGTGACATTCATTTTAAAATAAGATGTATGACCTTATATCAGGTCATTGTGGACACTGGTGACCTTAGATAGCTGACCAGTCTGATTGGATTTTATGATCCATTTTAATCAGTGACACAGATTGCAGCTGACCACAGGAAAATTATTATTTATAATCCGAAAAATAAGAATCACAATGGTCTTTTTTCTGCTTTAATCAAAATACCTTCCAAAATGATGTTGCCATTTTGGCACATGCAGTTGTCCAGTTCTTTGTGGCCGTAGCTTGACCAGGGAGGCCAGGTCATGGGTCAGACTGGACAATGAAAGTGTTAAGACAAGAAAACTTCACTTTTTATAACCATCAATACAGTTGATGTATTCTATATTAATTGACATGTGGCCATTGTCCGGAGTGTGAAAGTTTGACCAGTTCAAGTTAAAGGTCAGACTGGACACAATGCTGAGCCAGTGGTCAGTTTGGGACAAAAGAAATGTTTTAAGTGTTTTGAAACTGCAATCTGCCTTGCTGGTGACGTTGGTGATTTATTGTAAAGCGAACCCACTCTGTAGGGGTGAGTTAGCAGTCCCTATAGTCACAATATTAGCATTGGATAAAGATTTAGTAGAAAAAGTCATTTTTCACTTAAAGAGATTTGTAACTGTCCCTGGATTTTCCTTGTCTTTGTGGACTTGTATAAATTTGCCAGATTGGAAGGCTTCTCTTTTGTATCTGGAAACTATTAAGCTGATTATAAATTACCAAAAAAGAAAGTATTGTAATCAGAGGAAACGTTTAAGTTCCTATTGAGACTTTTGATTAAATCATAATCTTCAGTATTTCACAAAAGGTAAGGGAGAATGAATAGGAAAAAAACAAACAAAAAACTAAATGAATTATGACTTTTGATAAATAATTGCAGCATACCTTGAAAATTACAGTTTTTATTTTGGTAAATTGATTTTGAAATGTGCTACAAATAACTTTACAAACTACAATATTGACAATGTCTTAGTTCACCTTGTCAATTGATCTGTTTAGCTTGCTGCTAGTCCAGGATAACCATGAAAATGTTGTCTAAAGTTTGTTAATCAGCATTGGTAGGTGAAAATGATTTGATGTTATTGGAAACAAGAAACTTGCTGGGATTCGGGTGGGTCCCATAAGGAGAAGGGGATCTTTAAATCCCCTTTCTTTTCATATGGATAGATAGAAATGTACAAGAACTGCTAGCAATGTTGGAGAATCCTCCAGAGATTTCAAATTTCAATGATTAATTTTTTTTAACCCAAATTGCATTATGATAAATTTTGGAAACCAGGAATTCAGATTTTGTTATAAGGATGGTTACTTTCCTGGTGATATTAAGAGGCAGAGCAGGGGAAGTATTTGTAATGTGGCTTTATGTGAAAATGTTTTGTAATGATTGTTGAAATATCCAGATAAACAATACAGACAAGCTGTCAGGTACTTAAACATTAATTTATTAAGGGTATCATAATGATATGTTGGAAATGAATTTTATCACATACCAATTACTGGCCATGTCCTAAATATCAAAAGATGTGTAATAACACTGATTTTTGTTATAAATTAGTGACATCTGTATGCCATCAGTGATTGTCTTGGTAGTTCAAACCTACCATATGTGTCAAAATAACTTTTTTTATATGGAAATTAATTTTAACATTTTTTGCTTATTTTTCAGATATATGTATGATAAGATAAATAGAATCTTACACTCTAATATGGAATTTATGAAACAAATTCAATAATTTGATATGTCACTCATTAAAAGGTCTTTAACACATCAAATGAAAAAGAATTTTTTCCTTACTTCAGCACAATTGATCATATGGCAAAAAGGATCTGCAGTTGTTTTGTTTCCATTAACAAGACTGATGATACTAGTCCAAAATTTTTCATTTTAATGAACCTCTATAAAAAGTTCTTGAGACTGGTTGTATACATCTCATATGAAAACGAAACTGGTAAGATTCTGCATGTATGTTAAAACATGTACAAATTTAAGAATTAAATGGGAAGGGAATGTCACTATAAATTATTAGCATAATGGTGTGTTTTGCTTATGACAACCGTAAATGCCATAAAAAGACAGTGCAATGCTTATTTCAAATACCTGACAGAAGACAATGAACAACTTGCGCATTATTTAACTGAACTTTTGTATTTTTCAGATCATGGAAGTGAATAATATGAGTAAAGTGAGACTGAAATATTGGTAAGTAAACATAATTATTTGAAAATAAGGATTTACTTACAAAACCAATCCTCTTAGTTTCATATGCTTATTTCAGTGAAACTTTACACATATCAAAACTGTATAATTCCATTCTTAAAGATTTGTTTCTAAATGTTGAAAAAAATTCATGAGAAACTGTCCTGGACTTGTAGGCTGATATCAGTAAAATTTTACAAATACTTTAAGTTTAAAGAATGTCTTAACAAACCCCTGGTGTTATGTATTTGGATGTTATTTTTCATGTATTGTTGCTGTAGTTACAGAAATAACAGTCTCTAATTAGTCAAGATGTTTTGGCCAGCAAAATCAGAAATACATGTATTTTGAAATGTAGCCAAATTAAGGCATCTATTAGACTTCAATAGAAGCATTGCTGATTGATGTAACTATATGTGGTGTTTAAGAGATGCTTTAATGCATTTCTCCAATTTAACCTCCATTGACCATTGACTGTGAAGGGTGAGCACCTGCAGTGGAAATTAGCTATCCTAATGTGAAACCATTCAAGCAAATATTTGAAAGTCATTAAAAGCTAACAATGTGACAGAAATATTTTATGAGAACTAAATCACTTACAATAATTGCTGACTTCTCCATGCTCTGATAGGTACTAATGCTTTTTAAGGTTTGGATTAAACCTAGAAATATTTGTAGATCTGTCTATTAACTTCTACTTGTTATCACTTTTCCAAATAGTACAAGAGACAAGTACCAACATATAATTCTTAACTGCTGTTTGTCCTAAATCAAATTTAGGACATTTGGTAATTCAAATTGGCTGACATAGCAATTTTATTGGAATTCATTTGTATTTCAAAGTTCTATGTAATAAGTACAAAAGAGTAGAGATGTCTACTCCTGGGAGACATAGTCAAGATCTAGAGACAAATTGAATTGTACCATATTTATAATTATAACTTGTGATCAGCTGTAAATTGAAATGAGGTTTTTGCATCATCCAATATGGAAATGATAGCAGCCATCTTGAAACTGTTCCTATCTCTGCTTCTTCTTGATGACAGGTTCACAAGACAAATTACCTAAGGAGTAGCTAATACATAGAATGTTTATTGTCTGTGGAACTTGTCCAGTGTAGCATGTACTGCATGTAAATAGATCAGAAAATTACAGACAATCCAGATTTAGAAAGACCAACCTTGTATTTATTAATGTTTCATAAAGAATTGAACATGTTTTATGGTTTAGATGCTATCAACATCTGATCAGTCATGTGATCAATCATCTGATCAATCATCTTATCATCTGATCAATCATCTGATCAGTCATGTGATCAATCATCTGATCAGTCATCTGATCAATCATCTGATCAATCATCTGATCAATCATCTTATCATCTGATCAATCATCTGATCAATCTTCTGATCAATCATCTGATCAATCATCTGATCAGTCATGTGATCAATCTTCTGATCAATCTTCTGATCAATCTTCTGATCAATCATCTGATCAATCATCGGATCAATCATCTGATCAGTCATCTAATCAATCATCTGATCAATCATCTGATCAATCATCTTATCATCTGATCAATCATCTGATCAATCTTCTGATCAATCATCTGATCAACCATCTGATCAGTCATGTGATCAATCTTCTGATCAATCATCTGATCAATCTTCTGATCAATCATCTGATCAATCATCTGATCAGTCATGTGATCAATCTTCTGATCAATCTTCTGATCAATCTTCTGATCAATCTTCTGATCAGTCATCTGATCAATCATTGGATCAATCATCTGATCAGTCATCTAATCAATCATCTGATCAATCTTCTGATCAATCTTCTGATCAATCATCTGATCAATCATCTGATCAGTCATCTGATCAATCATCTGATCAATCATCTGATCAGTCATGTGATCAATCATCTGATCAATCTTCTGATCAATCTTCTGATCAGTCTTCTGATCAATCATCTGATCAATCATCGTATCAGTCATCTGATCAGTCATCTGATCAGTCATCTGATCAATCATCTGATCAATCATCTGATCAGTCATGTGATCAATCTTCTGATCAATCTTCTGATCAATCTTCTGATCAGTCATCTGATCAATCATCGGATCAATCATCTGATCAGTCATCTAATCAATCATCTGATCAATTTTCTGATCAATCTTCTGATCAATCATCTGATCAATCATCTGATCAGTCATCTGATCAATCATCTGATCAATCATCTGATCAGTCATGTGATCAATCATCTGATCAATCTTCTGATCAATCTTCTGATCAATCTTCTGATCAATCATCTGATCAATCATCGTATCAGTCATCTGATCAGTCATCTGATCAATCATCTGATCAATCATCTGATCAATCATCTGATCAATCATCTGATCAGTCATGTGATCAATCATCTGATCAATCTTCTGATCAATCATCGTATCAGTCATCTGATCAATCATCTGATCAATCATCGTATCAGTCATCTGATCAGTCATGTGATCAATCATCTGATCAATCTTCTGATCAATCATCGTATCAGTCATCTGATCAATCATCTGATCAATCATCGTATCAGTCATCTGATCAGTCATGTGATCAATCATCTGATCAATCTTCTGATCAATCATCGTATCAGTCATCTGATCAATCTTCTGATCAATCATCGTATCAGTCATCTGATCAATCATCTGATCAATCTTCTGATCAATCATCGTATCAGTCATCTGATCAGTCATCTTATCAGTCATTTTATCATGATAGAAGTGTTAATGTATTCTACTTAGATGGAATTAAGCTACTTCCTTTGTTTCGGATCGGAATCCTTACCATAGATCTATTTATAAACAAAGACCTTTATAATGTGTTTATACTGTAAAAACAATATCATTCAATCTGATGAATTCGTATATACACAATTACAGGAGGTAAACCAGGCACATGAAACACATCACAGATTGAACTAACAAAATCAACTGAACCATCTTAATTAAAGTATGAATATTAATTACAAGAAGTCCTTTTTTTATCTTTTCTTGTGAAAGGTTGAAATTATTTTTCAATTATTTCTAATTTTTTGTAACAGTGGAGTTCATTTCAATTCACCTCAAGTTCAGCCTACTATAGAACAGATAGACCAATCCTTTGGAGCTACACATCCTGGGGGTGAGTGATATCGGACTTTATAGATGATTTACAGAAATACGACTTTTATCCTTCTCTGACATTTACTTCAGTACAATATGTAGGAAACATGTAAATAGAAGTGTATCTGTAAATGTCATTTTACCATATAAGAAACAAAACGGTTAAAATGGATTTATGTTATAAAAAGTCAATAATACAATGGATGTGATCAGGGAACTCCCAACATAACTACTCTGATTGGCTGTATTTTTTAACTTTATTTTACTCTTTGCAGTTTACAACTCTGACAAACAGCTGTTTGTTTTGAACTTTAGGGGACTGTCCTTTGATTTTCCTATTGAATCTAAGTTTGAGGTAATATTACAAACCTGATATTGTTTTAATATGCAAAGAAAGTGAAGTAACTATAACAAAGATTTTCTAAATGATAATTCTAACACATAAAAAATTTTACAAGCGTTAAAAAATTGGTATAAATGAGTATCTCTGAAAAACATATAGTTGAAGCTTGGTTACTGTATATGTAATTTTTTAGAGGTTTAGCAGTGTTGATCAAATTGACAAAGACATTGTACATTGTACACATATTTCTAGCAGATAATGGTGACCAGAAGCTTATGTTGGTTACCAGAAACTATGGTGTTTACATTGACCACCAAAATAACACTTGATAGTTTTCATTACATCTGTCTGACACCTTGTTCAATCTGTCTTCAGCCAAAGTATGCCCATGGTTTAGGCTCTCTCCAGTTCCCTAACGGGTCTTCGCCTGTTGTGTCTAGGATGTGTGTATACACAGGAAACAGTCTCCTAGACACCAAGTAAGTACATTTTATTTATTAGGCAGTAAATTGTTATACCCTTTCAAAAGGAAATCGGGGAGTTGGGGTATACTAGAATAAGGCTGTCCGTCTGTCCCTCTGTTGACCAATGATGTAATACTACTCCTCTGAAACTACTGAATTGATTTCAACGATACTTAATTGCTGTAAACCTTATACATTGTAGATGTGTGTAATCTATATCAGGTTACTACCTCCCGGTGTTGGAAAAATATGCCCCATTAGGAACTCCAGCCCATCCAGCCTTAAACAGTTCTGTTTGTAGCTCTCTCTCAAGAAGTACTTAGTTTAACACAAATTTCATATCTAGGTTGTTTATGGTCATTTTTATGAATGTTTCATTTTGAATCTGATGGGAAATTAAGATAACCACTGGCCATTTTTCACGGTCAGAAATGGTTACCTTTTAATTTCTAGGTCACCGGAGACAAGCTTTTGATCATTTAGTACTTGTTCCCACTATTGCTACTACTGCTACTGTTACATATAGTAAGTCTTTCTAGTCTGATGGTCATTAAGTATATAGTAAGTCTTTCTAGTCTGATGGTCATTAAGTATATAGTAGTAAGTCTTTCTAGTCTGACGGTCATTAAGTATATAGTAGGTCTTTCTAGTCTGACGGTCATTAAGTATATAGTAGTAAGTCTTTCTAGTCTGACGGTCATTAAGTATATAGTAGGCCTTTCTAGTCTGACGGTCATTAAGTATATAGTAAGTCTTTCTAGTCTGACTATCATTAAGTACATAGTAGGTCTTTCTAGTCTGACGGTCATTAAGTATATAGTAAGTCTTTCTAGTCTGACTGTCATTAAGTATATAGTAGGTCTTTCTAGTCTGACGGTCATTAAGTATATAGTAGGTCTTTCTAGTCTGACTGTCATTAAGTATATAGTAAGTCTTTCTAGTCTGACTGTCATTAAGTATATAGTAAGTCTTTCTAGTCTGACTGTCATTAAGTATATAGTAAGTCTTTCTAGTCTGATGGTCATTAAGTACATAGTAAGTCTTTCTAGTCTGATGGTCATTAAGTACATAGTAAGTCTTTCTAGTCTGATGGTCATTAAGTATATAGTAAGTCTTTCTAGTCTGATGGTCATTAAGGTCCATGGGCTGCTTGCTTTTATGCCCTCAACCTTTCAGAGTGTGGGGTGGAGGTGGGGGAAGCATGTATAATGTTACACATGTCTGTCTGTCCTTCTTGTCATATACATAGTAGGTTCATATATACCCCATATAGTCAGAACATCAAGTTCAACACCATATCATCAGTCAAAATTAAAGGGTCAAAGGTCACTTTTGACAACTGCTGCCAATTCATCAGACTTTACAGTTCCTACCTAATTATATATGTATATTTCTTATGATAGGTTCCTAGCTTTACACATTTCATTTTGAGATAGATTGAAGAACAAAGATAGCTAACAAATTACCATTCTGGATTTTGGCAGGTAATGTTTTCCATATCTATTACAGAGCTCCTCCCCTACCAATAATTTGTTTCCAAGGCAACTGCTTTGTGGAATGTGTAGAAGTTCTCCGAGACCATGGTGTATCCAAGGGACTTAAATTTTTACTGCTCACAGAAGGTAAGTACTGGATTGAGTAACAGAGGAAGCTTGAAATAGTGTTGTCAGTACTGTGGACATGCTATCTAGAGTTTATTTATCAATATTTTTTTTTTTTTTTTTCATTCAGGTAATGGACCAGGGAAGGTTATCGATCCAAGGAAGAAATCATTAGAACGGATAGTCTCATTTGGAGACTCCTGTCAGGTACAAAATATCATTTCTGATTCACTTAACACACATCACTATTGTTGCATCTGGTAAAGGAAAGATCCATTGACCTATCCTTCCATCCATCTGTTTGCAGCCATATAACATTTTAAGCCCAACACGTTTGAGGTTTGTTGTAAATTTACACCCTTAAATCATTTGCAAGAAAGAAAAAAAATGTTGTGAAACTATTTTTTTCTGGAGTTATGGCCCTTGACATTCATTATCTCTGTCCCACATAGCTTAAAAGCATTACTTGTATTAGCTTTTGTTACTACTTGATACTGTGGAAGTACTTGTTGTATAAATGTGCATAAAGGATGGAATTTCATTCAATAAATCCTTGCATGTTTGTGGTTCTTTGTACCATGTAGAAGGGTCAGTGATGATGTATTTGACAATGCTGCATGCAACAAATTTAGGAGAGAAAACATGCAGGAAAGCATAATTATGTAACCAAATTAGGAGAGAGAACATGCAGGAAAGATAATTATGTAACCAATTTAGGAGAGAGAACATGCAGGAAAGCATAATTATGTAACCAAATTAGGAGAGAGAACATGCAGGAAAGATAATTATGTAACCAATTTAGGAGAGAAAACATGCAGGAAAGCATAATTATGTAACCAATTTAGGAGAGAAAACATGCAGGAAAGCATAATTATGTAACCAATTTAGGAGAGAAAACATGCAGGAAAGATAATTATGTAACCAAATTAGGAGAGAAAACATGCAGGAAAGCATAATTATGTAACCAATTTAGGAGAGAGAACATGCAGGAAAGCATAATTATGTAACCAATTTAGGAGAGAGAACATGCAGGAAAGATAATTATGTAACCAAATTAGGAGAGAGAACATGCAGGAAAGCATAATTATGTAACCAATTTAGGAGAGAGAACATGCAGGAAAGCATAATTATGTAACCAATTTAGGAGAGAGAACATGCAGGAAAGCATAATTATGTAACCAATTTAGGAGAGAGAACATGCAGGAAAGCATAATTATGTAACCAATTTAGGAGAGAGAACATGCAGGAAAGCATAATTATGTAACCAAATTAGGAGAGAGAACATGCAGGAAAGCATAATTATGTAACCAATTTAGGAGAGAGAACATGCAGGAAAGCATAATTATGTAACCAATTTAGGAGAGAGAACATGCAGGAAAGCATAATTATGTAACCAAATTAGGAGAGAGAACATGCAGGAAAGCATAATTATGTAACCAAATTAGGAGAGAAAACATGCAGGAAAGCATAATTATGTAACCAAATTTTAGAGAAAACATGCAGGAAAGCATAATTATGTAACCAAATTAGGAGAGAAAACATGCAGGAAAGCATAATTATGTAACCAAATTAGGAGAGAGAACATGCAGGAAAGCATAATTATGTAACCAATTTAGGAGAGAGAACATGCAGGAAAGCATAATTATGTAACCAAATTAGGAGAGAGAACATGCAGGAAAGCATAATTATGTAACCAAATTAGGAGAGAGAACATGCAGGAAAGCATAATTATGTAACCAAATTAGGAGAGAAAACATGCAGGAAAGCATAATTATGTAACCAAATTAGGAGAGAGAACATGCAGGAAAGCATAATTATGTAACCAAATTAGGAGAGAAAACATGCAGGAAAGCATAATTATGTAACCAAATTAGGAGAGAAAACATGCAGGAAAGATAATTATGTAACCAATTTAGGAGAGAGAACATGCAGGAAAGCATAATTAGTTACCAATTTAGGAGAGAGAACATGCAGGAAAGATAATTATGTAACCAATTTAGGAGAGAAAACATGCAGGAAAGATAATTATGTAACCAATTTAGGAGAGAGAACATGCAGGAAAGATAATTATGTAACCAATTTAGGAGAGAGAACATGCAGGAAAGCATAATTATGTAACCAATTTAGGAGAGAGAACATGCAGGAAAGATAATTATGTAACCAATTTAGGAGAGATAACATGCAGGAAAGATAATTATGTAACCAATTTAGGAGAGAAAACATGCAGGAAAGATAATTATGTAACCAATTTAGGAGAGAGAACATGCAGGAAAGATAATTATGTAACCAATTTAGGAGAGAGAACATGCAGGAAAGATAATTATGTAACCAATTTTACTACTTTACACTTTGTGTAAGATTACAAGTCTTTTTAGTACAATGATCTTTCTGTGTAGATGATTGTCCATTTCTCTCATACCTCTTTCTACAATTGGTTTAGAATTAATTTCTGGTTGACAGGATGTTATTGGGTCCCTTGGATGTCCTGGTAAGGTGTTTTACAAGGCTGAGGATAAGATGAAGATACACTCCCCAGATGCTCACAGAAGACTACGATCTCGCTGCTCAGACTATTTCTTCAATTACTTCACTATGGGTGTGGTAGGTTATATTTCTTCTTATTACAGAACATATCCTTCATTCTGCAGAAAAATTGTCATATATAGTGTATTTAACTGTTGATTTATTTCTTTAATTTTAAGAACATAATGTTTATTTGCTATTTTTAGGACATCCTATTTGATGCCACCACTCATACAGTGAAGAAATTTATCCTTCATACAAACTTCCCTGGCCATTACAATTTTAACATGTAAGTTCTGTTTTTTTTTCAAATTATTTAAACAATAAACAATATGTTAATGATGATGAATATATTTGCAAGTGACCTGGCTGGTCTCAAGTGAGTTTCATGAAGATTTACTTTATTATTCATACCTACATGTCCAACAACATTTTGGGTAATATTAATGAGGCATCTTGTTATATTGAACAAAAAATCTCATCACACCAGAGTGTATGATGGTATACCCAGTCAGGAATCAAAACATAGATTATCAATGATTGCCAAGAGAGTTTTGATGTCACAAAACCACAGGACCTGATGCTGCCGTAGTCTCATGGTTACTGTATTAGTTATGTTGTAATGGGACAGTTACCAGCAAATGTAAGGAACAATTGAACTGAAGGCGAAGGATGGAATATTTTCATTATGTGTGTAACAGCAAGTACTTCAACCAGATATTCAAGAAAGTTTGACCACAAAGGGGGAAAAAGGGCCAGTCAAGCTGAAAAAGGAAAGGAGGCAAGAATGTCCATTTGGTTTAATTTTTATTGGGAATGAGAAAAGTGCTATTTGAAGATAAAATTCAATAAAGTTTTCCTGGAATGACCACTAATACATCTCATTACATTGGTTTCAGGTATTACCGATGTGAGTTTAAGATCCCAGTTGCTGTGGAGATGGTAAAACCCAAACTGGTGCAGACGGATGACAGTTCAGAAGAGGAGGTGGTCATCACAGCCTACTCAAAGGTGGAATTATAGGACTTTTCAGGAGGGATCAGCTCAATTTTAGCTTATTTTGATAAATTTGTATACAAGAAATCTCATGAACCCATATTTTGTTCATTTTCTCACCATAGCATTAACCATTAACCTCGTCATAGAGTACACCTAATTAGGTTTTGGAACTCATTGGTCAAGAGAAAAGGTCACCCTTGACCATTTCTTAAAAAATAACTTGTGTACAAGATATCTCATGAATAGTTCAACTTCGTATTCACATCATATCATCACACTATTTTGGTGATCATCAGTAAAGATTGAAGGTCAAAGGTCACTGTTGACCACTTATGAAATAAAAACATTTTGTATGAGACTAATAAACCCCTCAAAAGATTTAGATAAGAAAATGATATAAGGGTGGGGGTATATCTATGTGATAAGAAAATGATATGAGGGTGGGGGTATATCTATGTGATAAGAAAATGATATGAGGGTGGGGGTATATCTATGTGAGCCCCCTGTACACACCTATTGGTTTAACCCAAGGAGAAAACCACATTCAATCTAACTATTCTACAATATTATTGGTCAATTTTGTCCATTAAGGATAGAAAGATGCCCAACTGTTAAATGTAGCTTTAATTCCAGGTTACTGCCAAATTCTCATTTTATCTTACAAGGGCAATCTGTATGTTATAGTTCAGTTTATAACAAAAACTACCAAATCGAACTTATACATGTAATTTGATATTCATAGGAAATAGCAGGTTATATTACTGTAGGGTATTGATTATCTGCAAAACAATGTGATGGTTTGAAAAGGCGTAGCCTTTCAGTGATGTCAGTACTTTGATTATAATAATTTCCCAAATCTAGCATTATGTTGTTGGCCAAACTATCCTCAAAGCCTTGATGTTTATGCAGCAATTGTCACCTTTATGTCTGTACGGCAATTCTCTTATGCCATTGTTATTTGTAGTGGGATACAGTCCAGGACTACCTAGTGAGACCTGAGCAACGCCCAGTGATCCTTAATCGATCATCTTCCACCAACACTAGCAACCCTTTTGGCTCGACCTTCTGTTTTGGGGTACAGGATATGATATATGAGGTAGAAGTTTGTTCTGATGCAGAAATGAGTTACCATATACTTCTGAAGAGACCATATCATACTTATTAAAATGTTGTTAGGGTTTAAAAGTTTTACAGCTGTGAAATCTCCATATCTATCCTATTCATCACTTTCAATAATACTGTTACATCACACAATTCAATCTCTCTGACACAAAAGGTCAAAGTTTAATGAAACTGCAGATAACACTTTTGGAATACAAAATAATTGGATATTGCTAATTGAAATATGTTAAATAGTGATAGCCCTAACACAAATCAGACATTATAAATTAAATAGCACAAATCATTTATCTGTTACAGGTGATGCATAACCAACACATAGCATCTGTAACCATCTACCAAAGTAGAGGAGGGTCTACTAGAGATGTCGGTTCCTGAGGGGCCAGCAGTGGATTGATAGTTAATGTTTACAGTGTGATCCATATGCACATTTGTATACCAGGGCCAGTTGGTGCATTATTAGTGTTGGCGTCACCTTGAACATTGTATATGGATTAACAAGTTCCTAGGGGTATACATGGGTCATCAAGTCCTGTGTGTTCAGGAGTCTGTTTGTTCCTGTTCGTTCTAGGATCAACCAGTGCTATTATGTTCTAGGAATAGGCGGCTTCTGTGTATTGTGGGTTCATCTAGTTCTATTGTAAGCTAAGAGCAGCCGGACCCTGTATATATTCTGGGGTCAACCAGTTCCTGTGTGTTCTGGGGTCAATCATTTTCTGCATGTTCATGAGTCAGTCAGTACCTGTTAAATGAAGATTTTACAACGGTATGGACACCCTACGACTGTAAACTGTAATTCTGACCTACCTGCCTGTGATATAACATTTTATTTAAATTTGTATTATAGATGAACATCCCCAAGTCAGCCATATATGTTCAATGAAATGAAAATTAATTTTTTGTTAATAGTTACAGAATCATTTATCTAAAATTGAAGTGTACATGTGATATATGATCTACAGTATAACTATATATTATAGATAGGTGGGAAAGACCAGAATAACGATGTGAAATGTCACCTAACTACTGTTAATGTTGCAGAAATAACTACAACTCAGAGCAAACTTTGACTATACTGATGACGACATTCATTTTTTAGAAATATTTATCTAGTCAGTTCATGTTTGCAACATGATTTAACATAATTTCAGAACAAGAACCTCACACAATTATCTCCCTTGTGTTCTTGTAAATAATATCCACAATGCATTTACAGCACTAAAATTTAACGAGTAGGATTTGGTCCATTACAATGATATTCAGAATTTGAAATTTGTTACGCTTTCTTAAAGCATATGGTATCCTAATTTTGAAACTAGTTGGAGCCCTGTGATATTGTGGTGCTAGCTGAATGCACTTGAGGTATACCTGTAGGTACAGAAAAGCTCTGACATAAACGGGTATCTACTTTGACAAGACCTGGGGACCCTTGCTTCTTTGTAACTCAGTAGTATACATGTAGCAGCATTCAGTTCTCAAACTATTCTAAATGAATTTTAAAATGTGTATTGTACCATCGAACAATTCATCAGAACAGGGCACATTAAGGTTCCGCGTCAAAACTTTTAAAAGAGATAAAGGACAATTCTACATGATGCTCAGTCTGTCTACCCAACACAAGACAGTTTCTCAGGGAGCTGTGCTGACATAGTTGTGTCCTCAAACGAAGACATAACAAACAGTCTATGAGCCACTTTACTATCACCAAGACATGAATACAACTGTACACAACTGGGTGATGTGGGTCAACCTAAGGGCATTACCTGTGAGGAATAAGAGTCTTATTGTTATTAATGATATTGACTGTGATCTAAAATATTCTGCTTTGTAATGAAGGCCATAATGAACTATTGATGTTAAGTAGACAAAGTGGCTATAATAATGTATAGATATATTGATATCATTACTTTCTAGATGCACAGTATATCAACTATGAACACACTCTTATGATTGAAATCAGAAAATACAAAGTTTTGTTCCAGAGTTGGATTTTGCTGATTTTCCCAATTCTAATCAAATAACAGAGTTATATATTATTGTATTTATTATAAATAGCTTGAATATTTTATCTTATTTTTTTTTTATTTATTTACAATAGTACACTGTACATACTCAATTATTGTATAAATTCTTTTTAACTTTTGACTACTTTTTTATTGTAAAATTATGCCATTCTTCTATCAAACATTCTAAAAGATGGAAATTTGTGATTAAAGTATCGCTGGAATCATACCACTAAAATACATTTTCTTAAAAACTTGATGTCATTGGACTTATCTATTTCAATTATTTCTTCGGTCTGGATGAAGGATTTTGTCCCTGTGCTGTGTATAACTATCAGCAAGAGGGTTTATCCAACTTGTAAGCCTTGTGTGGTATATCTTGCCATCTCTTCAGTGAATCCTGTGTGTTGCTCCATTACAATGTATTTGATGAGATCATTGAGACAAGTAAAAGTTGTCAATGTTATTAAGTTTTGTTCCTCACAAAAATGCAATTCTCTTCTAAAATGGACCTTGTTTATTCCAAGTAGTGGACTAAAGTCATTTGTGAACGGTTTTGCTGGTCAGAAAGTTTTCAGTTATAAATCCTTTTTCCTTTATTTGAAACAAGTCATTCAGCTTTTGGATATAGAGGTCCATTTTGAAGTCTACTAGTACACTGAACATCCCTGTTGTTGAGCAAGAAATTAAAAATATAACTTTTTTTGTGTCTCGGGCATTCTTCCGACATTTTATTTCTCTAGCATGATTATCCATGTATTTACATATTTTAACACACTGAACACGTATCTTGAATATCAAGTACATTATCATCAATTGTCATTACTAAGTTTGACAATCTCATGTGATTAAATATTACTTGCAATTTAAAGTGTTCTATATTTATATTTGTGTACAAAAGCATGACCTTTACTATTCTCTATGCATTAAATCACATTAAACTGCTGTTTCTAGTCGATGGTATATTTCTTAGACAGGTGGCCAGACTTGCCTAAAACATTTCAATACAATCACTACATCATGTGATCTGGGGTGACCGAGAGAGCTTAAATGGTTGACCACTGTGCCAATAACCTCCAGTGAAGTTTGCAATATATGGTTTGATGCTCTTTATTGCGAGTTTGTGTTTCTCAGGAAGCTGGGCCTACAAGACATACCAGTGGGTACTTACATGGTTGTGCCCATTAACCTAATTGATCTGGATGGCTTCTGATGGCTCTTCCATATGGTGTTTAGTCAGGTAGCAACCAACTTCTACAAAAAGTCCCTATCTCAAAACTTAGCAATCATGTGCTCTTGATTGGTCTGATCTTTTTCCCTAATTATCTGATTTAAGATTGCAGATCACACACAGAACTGCTAAATAAAATCTTATTGTTGTCTTAAGTTCAAAATACTCCCAAAAATTTAGCAGTGTTTCGAGTCAATTTGCTTTTCAGTACAAAAATAAAGGGTTTGAGAGATGGGGTAAAAGTGGTCTGACCATAACATCTAAATTTAGTGTGTTGGAGTCCTCAAAAGTAATACTGTTAGTGGGAGTGATGGTGGGCCATATATAAAACAACCACCTGTATGCAAGCAATAAAGTTTTATTCCAGGAGACAATAATTCCAAGTTCCTGATTCACAGGAATGAAAACAAACAGTCTTCTTAGAACTTTGCCATCTATACATAACTCACAAAATCTACACACATTATTTATAACAATGGTCATTCAGTGTTGCACCTTGTTTCCACTGAAACATCACCATACAAATGTCTGTCTCGGCCATACGAACACATTGTAATTTGCCTTGGCAAAAATCGTCATGTAATTTTCACACATTATTTTGAAGATTTCCTCTTGAATATTCTTGTAACAAAATCACATGATCTGATTTAATAATGATAAGCTGTCTTGTTTCAAAAATAAACTATTGGCTGGAAAAAATGTATTGTTCCTTCAACACCATGGAGATCAGTGAATTTCGTTTGTTTCGGTCTCTCTCAAAGTCTGTCCAGTTTTAGGCTGCATACATGACCGGGCGACCGACTCAAATAACCTGCAACAAAAATGAGAAGACATGAAAATAAATACAAAACAAATGATATTATATCTTGACAATTATATTCCATCAAAAATACAGATAATGTATTATAAAACAAGAAATCAGATTTCACCGTCTGGCATGTGATATTTCTATTACTTACTTTTCAATCTCTGGAGCACAATGCACAAACTCATGATTCCAGAATTTGAACTGTGGATTTTTGATGAGCTCAATGAATGTGATGAGTAACCCCCATGGATGAGGCCTGTTAACGATCAATCGCTCAAGTAGCACCCTGCAAAAAAATGTATCGCCAAATTTTTAGACATTCTAAGGAAGAATCTTTCCATATGAAAGCTTAACAATTTTATCTAGGAACTGTGGTGATATACAAAAGTTTCATAATTTGAAATTCTGGAAGACGATTTTGATTAAGGCTGACTCGGTTTAACTACCTTGTGATCTGTTCCTGTATGGCCTCTGTGTTGGCCTCGGCAAACAGGTAGAGTAATGTACAGCTGAAGTAGTAAGTATGGCTGTTGGGATATCGCAGCTGGTTAGAGATGGACGTCAGGAAAAGGTACCGACCTGAAGTTAAATATGATAAACATATCAGAGTACCATAATGAAAAGTGACTTACAAAATTATTCTATGATGCAGATAGACTCAAAACAAAAACAAAACTTTTATACAAATTGATTTACAGAAAAATAAACTATAATACTTCAACAATAGATAATTTAACTAATATAAATTGACTGCCTAATCTGTTTGACCAACAGAAAAAATATAACACTATCAACTTACTGAAATTTTTGCTGTTATACAAAACGATTAACAGAAAATTATACAATAATACAAATGGAATCAAACAAAGCCACACAAGACCACAACTTAACTTGTAGAAAAACATACTCTTCTACAAATTGAAAAAAAGACCACACTGTCACAAATTAACACAGAAAACTGATGATGAACGATCACAACACCTTATAACATTCTCAAAAGAGATGTAGGTTATATTGATCTAATATAAAAACTAAATGCTAGTCTAATATATTTAAAGTGAACTTCCAAAACTTGTGTCTAGACAGAAAGGAATCCTGGTTCTATAATTTTCAGTTTACACATGTTTTACTGTACAATGTAGACAGATAGGATAACGCTGTGATAGAAAGGACTCACCCTCTGTGTCAAGATCAACACCCAGGTTCTGGAAGATGTCCATGTGAGCAGAGTGTGCAATTGTGGACATACTTGGAGTGAGACCCTTGCTATGGATATGTTGGATAGACTGGGTCCCCACATACAGTACCAGTGCATTCATAAGTGGGATGTTGTACCGCATCCCTGGTTCATTCAGCTGTCAGAAAAATAGGAATCAGTGATGTATGTTTCTCTGTACAGAACAAAATCATGTATATCACAAGGAAGCTTAAGATGAGCTACTACACAAAATAATCATTACTATGGGTCCGTGAGTACATCTATATCAAAGTCCCTATCCTGAGGATTTCTAATTCAATTTGTAGGTGTCAAGATTATGATGAAATTCCAGGTTTCCTCGTATTCCACTTCTGGCGTTACAAAATTTAAAAACTCTGAGAAACCCGAAAAATAAATAAATTGACCAGACATTTGATCATTTTGTAGACTACATTTGCACAGTTTCTAATTACACGATCAGTTTAACTTACCTGTAAATTACTGCGGAGGTCTGACAGGAAGGTAACAGGTGACCTTGTTTTAAGGTAGGAGTCCAAGTCCTGTTAATGTCACAAAAAATTCCAAATTACCGTAAATTTGCGGGTATAGTGCGCACTCGGGTAAAGTGCGCAGGTACTTTTTTGGGGTCAGATTAAAAAAAAAAGAAGAAAGATTTTCTACAGAAAGATTAATTGATTACTGGTTACCGCGATGAAACAGTTGTGGTTTGATCCATTGATATTTAGGAAACAAATTCACACAGGTGCCTGACTTAACAAGCATGCGTAATACATCCAGATTATTAAATTATTGCTTACTGTACTTAATTCCGTCATATTTTCATACATAAATTACCTATAGAAACAACCAGAAAGAAAAACCATTTCAAAGACATAACCGTTCTTATACTTCCACTACTACGGCAATTAAATAAATCAAATACCAAAACACTGATTGTGAATTGAAACATTCAGTTTAAGAAAACCTAATTTCTTAATTGCTTTGTGATGTATATGTATTATACACAAGTCTTAAGTACCTTTTTAAAGGACGCTGGCTCAATCATCTTGGCAAAGTTGGTAAGTATTCGGGGAGGATGTGCGATGTCAGCCAACATATCCACCTTGAGATTGGGTGTGAATGGGTCAGGTAATCGCATATTGCGTGGGAATGCACTCAGAATGAGATTGCGCATCTGAATACAGTTGGGTGGTATGACATCACAGAAGGCATAATGGTAGTCGCATAAGAACTCTGGAAAGTCATGGAGTAGCACTAACAGGACTCGCAATGTACCCTGTAAATAACAGTACACAAAATAAACAACAAAGTAACACTTTAACATAACAAGTAAACAACACAACAGAACAATGTACAATGTAAACAATGTATTAAGTATATGACTAAATTACTGAGTAAACTTAAGGAACAATTAAATAACATATCAACAACACAAGAAAATAATATCTAAACAATGTTGTAGTCATCCCTGTAACAGAAAATCATAGTTATTCCAGGAAGTTCTTTTCAATGTGCCCTCACAATTCCACTGCCAACATCATATTTTAACTGAGAAATCGGTTCGGCTGCCTATTCAATATCCCGAAATTGGGCTCATGCTATTGTGATCACAGCACTCAAGATTGCATTTATTTTGTAATAGCTAAGTTTGAGTCCACATCCTCTTACATACCTTGTAAAGGAGTTGAGTTGGCTTCGTCAGTTCAGCATTGCGTAAGAACGGGGTCAAGAACTTGAACAAGTCGAGTAACAACTGTGCATACATTCCCCAGCCCTGCATTGTCAATGGAATAAACACCATACAATCAGAACTCATTCCCATACATTCAATTAAACATATAGTTATATATCTGTACTTAGTTTATAACGGCTTACATCAATTTTAATGTTAGTACATAGTACTGTACTAGAATCAAAGACCACTTCATTATCCATCAATATTAATGTTTTGTTTTGAGAGGAAGGGAAACAACTCTAAAATACAAAATATCTCAATATCCTTGTAAATTGTCAAGATCAAGACTTGTACCTTTTGTTGGGGTGTGAGGGCCAGCAATCGCCCAATAAACACACGGTGTGAGAGAAGCTCCAGCCAGGCATAAGCAAACCCAGGAGCCTTGGCTGGCCTTAGCACGTGGAATGTGTTGCTACAAAAACAAAATAATAAATGTGATAAAATGCAGACCTTAAGCTATAGTTTTACAGCTGTCACCATTTAGCCTATTATTCTTTCAGGATTTTGGGTCTAAGAACTAGAAAATGTCTGTTAGACACAAATACCACACTGCCAAGGCCTTGACCTTGAACCCCTGGCCCATCAAAGTATCCTTTGCATAAAGTTTGACCAAATTCCATGAAAGAATAAAATTGCTAAATGCTTAAATTGAATCAATTGATGATTTTCTATATATAGCAAGGGTGATCTTGGCCTTGACTTAGGCCCCTGAAACACAACAATGTCCAAAGTATATCATAACTGATCTTCGTATAAAGTTTGACCAAAAACTACTCTACAAATGACAGGGCCACCTATGAACCTCTTCTAAATGTGTAATCTCCAGGGTATGTAAAGCTGAAATGACATCAACTGGTCACGTCGTTTAGACTAATCAGAGGTACACTTAGGGAAAAAAAACTAAGAGATTAGGGACTCACACAGATATACACAAACTATCAAAATGAGCTTTTAGATAAGGAGAGAGGACTTAATGAAGTACTATATAATGAAATTTTCCCCAAGTCCCTGCTAATATTGTCTTTCGGTTCTCCAACAAAACCATAAATTTCAAAGCACATCACTTGTTGTAACCACTGTTACTACACCTACCAGAAAGCTGTGAGCACTTGGAAATTGATGTTCTCGAGTATGTGTTCTGGAGCATTCAGCTCAATGAAGAGCATAATGAAGATGCGATGATAGGGCAGCTGCTGGAAATCTGAGTGACGGACAGCATGGTCCTGCAGTAGTACCCCAGCCACAATACCCAATACCTGAAACAAAATAATGCAATTAAAATATTGGTCAAGTTATACAAATCAATATTCCAAAGACCATTTTGGATCAAATATTTATCCCCCAATATTTTAATTTTCAAAATAGTTCTTCTCCTGTGCAATCAGTTTTTAATTTCAAAGATCTGGTTATGTGGAATGGGTCGTTATACAGAAGTGTTGTTTCATTATAATACTACAGGTAAATTCTTTGAGTGAATGGACCTGCTTAACATAAATTTTTTCAATATGTGCCACTATTGTTTGAGTCAAATTAATGAGTCAAATCGTTTACAAAGGACTTTGGAATCTCCTTTAAATGGAAACAGAATGTATGAATTTGCATGGTGAAGCTGGAGCTAGTCAACATTTTTTAATTGTTTATTCAAAGTCAGTTCCCGTTTCATCATTAGCTTCTCTAATTGAATAAACGTACTTGAGTAATTAGCCCATTTTTCCTTGGGTGTCTAAGTGAAACCTTTTGAAAGTTTGCACATTAATTCAGGTTTTTTATGTTTTTCTTAAGAAGAATGGTGACAATGCAGGCATAGAATTTAAACATTTAAATCACATGATTAAGCATTCTTAATAACAACACATATTTTTCTAGGCGATTCTCTAAAGTCTAACATTTCTCGTATGTATTATCTCCACTATGATGCCATAACTCTATGGTGGTGTTTCAGTATGATTTCTGGGATCACAATTCTACAAGCAAACTACATTACATGAATCACAATCATGTATCAACTTAATGTCACTCACCTTGTTGAGAAGGTTGATCTTTGTGACTGTGTTGGCTGTGTCACCTGAGTGTTTGATGAGCAGGGCAATAAGTCTGACAAATGCATCGAGTGTATGAAAGCACTTGGCGCGGACTAGAGCAGGGTTCTGTGACTGTTCACCCAGAGCACGATAACACAGGTCAACACACATCTCCGTACATAAACGGAAGAAGCGTGTGATGAGATCATCTGTCTTGAGGATTCCTTGCTGATGCATCTGTAACATTGATATTCACAATGTCTCTCGTAACAGTTAATCAAATGATGTGTACACTCACTAATCTTGTTTAAGCTATGGTAAGTTTTCGATTTTCTAATAAACTTGATTTATCAGCTTGACTTAGAGGATTTATTGCTTCAAACACTCAAACTCTCATCCAATTATTTCCTTTTCAAATGTAAATTATTTATTTGAGTTTCAGCCCCACAGAAGACTTGAACTATCACTGTATAAGTCTGCAGTAAATATTCCTCATATTTCCATTGAAAACTGACTCCAAGTATAAACAGTTTATCTGAACAAGAATGTTGAAATATGTTGCGTTAATTTCTTTAAGATAAATTAAAAGGTAATTTTCATGACGTCATTTTGGTGCCCACCTCCATCTGTACGCAATACTTAAAGATAATTTTAAGTTACAATGTATATCTAATATCCACTAAGAAATATATACCCACCTGTTGTACAAATGCTGTAAAAGCCTTAGTACTATCACGACCAGCAGCAGGCGAGTGATACATGTTCACCCACTCACGCAACAGGAACTCTGTCTTTTCATGGAGCCCGGGTGGGTCATCTAATTCTCTGGCCTGTGATATTCCTGACTGCATCATAGAGGTCGGGCCTCCTATGGCACGCTCTAAAAGACTAAAATCTACTGGGGGGTGTAGGCCTTCCAACATCTGGGCCAGCCTGAAGATAATCCAGTGATTTATGTTTAAGATAAAACTTACCTGAGATATTAAACCAATAAATTTAAAGAGCTATCTTCAAACTAACATCTTCAGTTAGATTTAATGCTACCTTCAATTTTTCATACGTATTATGAGAAAAGGACACATACTACCCAACATAACTGATTTCTCTGAAACCAAAGTTATACATACCATTACCTAATTGTTAATTGTGTGTAGGTATTTTCTTACTGTGCCATTAATGTGCCAATATCAACAGTATTAAAACACAGTCTGAGCACAGAAACATTTTGAAAAATAAAACTAGATGACCACTAAAATATGTCAATTTAAAACATTTCTCACAGCAACTGGTACCAAATGCTTTTGCAGTGTCTTTGACAGTAATGGAAAATATTAAGAAGGTTCTTTTCAACATTTTCAATTAAGAGTAAACAGTTTTATACTAACCCTTCAGGAGGCCTCTGGTTACGTGAGTTCACCTGTGTCAGGGCCTCAATAGTGTTGGCAAAGTCAACCTACAATAAACAAGCAGGTTACAGACACATCACTGACCACCTCCAAATCTATTTCTAACTTTTATCATTTATTCCGTAAACCAATATATCAATAATCTTCATAAACTAGTGATTCAAAAAGGTAGATATTAAACAAAAATTTTCTTAATCTAAGACAATTCTAAATCCATACAGAAACTGATGCCAATTAAGATCTCTGATCCTTCACACCAAATACTTATGTTATCGGTTTACTTTTGTGACTAGGGTATTAGACTTGTTGTACAAGCCTAGTACATATATGGGATACGTAATTATGTGACTTATTGTACATATATGAGATACTTACCTCTGTGACTGGGCTATTGGCCTTATTGTATAAACCTAATACATATATGGGATACTTAATACTGTGACTGGGCTATTGGCCATATTATACATAGATAAACTACTAACCTCTGTGACTGGGCTATTGGCCTTATTGTACATAGATGAACTACTTACCTCCGTGACTGGGCTATTGGCCTTATTGTACATAGATGAACTACTTACCTCTGTGACTGGGCTATTGGCCTTATTGTACATAGATGAACTACTTACCTCTGTGACTGGGCTATTGGCCTTATTGTACATAGATGAACTACTTACCTCTGTGACTGGGCTATTGGCCTTCCAAACCTAGTACATATATGGAATACTTACCTCTGTGACTGGGCTATTGGCCTTCCAAACCTAGTACATATATGGAATACTTACCTCTGTGACTGGGCTATTGACCTTATCGTACATATGTGAGATACTTAATTCTGTGACTGGGCTATTGGCCTTATTGTACATATGTGAGATACTTAATTCTGTGACTGGGCTATTAGCCTTTTTGTACATATGTGAGATACTTAATTCTCTGACTGGGCTATTGGCCTTATTGTACATATGTGAGATACTTAACTCTGTGACTGGGCTATTGGCCTTATTGTACATATGTGAGATACTTAACTCTGTGACTGGGCTATTGGCCTTATTGTACATATGTGGGATACTTAATTCTGTGACTGGGCTATTGGCCTTATTGTACATATGTGAGATACTTAACTCTGTGACTGGGCTATTGGCCTTATTGTACATATATGGGATACTTAATTCTGTGACTGGGTTATTGGCCTTATTGTACATATGTGAGATACTTACCTCTGTGACTGGGCTATTGGCCTTATCGTCTACACAATAGCGTTGCACTAGTTGCATGGCAAACATGACTCCAAGATAGTTCAGTCCATTCTCCATGAGTTGGACCAGGTACAGGTCATACTGCTGCATGTTGACCAGCCCAGAACGTATAAGACAGTCTACTGCATCTGCATTGTATTTGTTGTCTCCTCCCACCTCAATCAGACATCTATATAAATATGAATACTACTATTATCCAACATAAGTGTTCACCAATACCACCAATATCCCACAACTCTTGTCAGACAACTTTTAGGCGCAAATAATGTTACTATCCAACAAACCAATTATACATACATATAAGTACTTGAAAATCTCACAACTCCAGTGTAATCTTTCCTTTAATCATCACTATGTTATTATCACAGCCAATCATCACTATGTTATTATCACAGCCAATCATCACTATGTTATTATCACAGCCAATCATCACAAAGAACCTCATTTTACATTTCTTACTTCTCCTGTATGAAAGAAAATTGTTTCACCAATATGGGACCCAGCAATGTGTAATGATCTGCAAAAATTCATTTCTAACGGATTCAAATTTGGCCATACTGCTGACATGATATCAAGTCGTGGTTGTATTGTGATGCCAGAGATTGCTGTATCATACAAGTGCCCTTCCTGTAATGTGCCCAGAACAGACTTATATTACCTGGTAACCTGTTTGTTGGTCCACTGGGGTCCATAGGCCCTCTGGTCCTGTAAACTCTTCAGCACCATCAAGTTGCAGTCCCTGAAGCGCACTAATAGGTCTTGATCACTGGGCAATTGAGAATATGTGCAGTGGTCCAGCAAACCTTCCACTGCCTACAAGTACAATCAATGCCACAAAACATTTAGTTATACATAAAAGATACACCAAACATTTATAAACATACTTTAATTTTACAACTTTAATGATGGGAGTTCTCATACTGAAAATGCTTCTTCACAATAAAGATATCTAAGTTACATATTTTCTACAAATTCTTTGTACTGGTCATTAAGTGGGCTTTGACAGAAGTGATGTCAAAATGATCTTTGCATTAGGTCATAAAAGTCATAAAAGGGAAATAACTATGCAGTGGGACCATGAAAGAAAGTTATTCAAAAAATATGTATAGTTTCCTATTCAATACCATTGATGTTCATGTAAAGTTTTTCTTAAAACAAGTGAATTTTACATTCTTCACTTAGAAGCCATCACATTTTTGGTTTTTACATGAACTCCTTCTGTTAACAATAACAGTGACAATAGCCAGTACTGCAGAAGATAAATTGTTTTATATAAATTGCTCTCACATAACCGTCTTATTCCATCTATTTTCACCACATCAATCTTCCAGATGCTGTAAAAGAAAAAAATATTATGTCCAATAGCAGAGAGAAGTTACCTTCTGTAGAAGGGCAATTGAGGTGACAATCTCCCTATTGTTGCGAGCTAGGAGAACGGCCTCCAGCAGGCTGTGAAGCTGGACCATCAACGGGTTACTGGTGGGGATTCCCATCAACTGTTGCATATATTGCTCCATGTCTCGTCTGATACGATCTAGAATCTGGGTCAAGTCATCAATAGAATAGGTCTGAAACATAGGAGTTCTTCACATTTATCTGGGAGAACATAGCAGCTTTAAACATAGTTCTTTATCACAGTTGGGCAAACAAAATCACATCCAATGAGAAAGAAAATCTAACATTTATAACCACACATCTGGGAGAACTTGGCATATGTGCTGTCACAGCTGAAATCATTGCAGTATACATATTTGGAGTTGGTAAGATAGAAGATAATGTCTTACTACTCTATGCTAGAGAACTTACAGCTACTGGTTTTGGAACTCCTGGAGGAAGTGATGGGTCACTTGTAGGCTGAAATCCTGGGATGTTCTGGGCAAATTCCTCATACACAGCAATCTGTCCTGCAGTCACCCCACCAACCTACACACACCAATACATGTTGATTATAGAACATTTCTGAAAAAACTTTATTTGTGCTTCTCTCATCATTGTATCTTGATACAATTTTTTTCCTCTTCTACAACATTAACATTTAAAAATTCTATTTTTAGCTGTTAAGATGAGAACCATCATAAAACACAATTTATTAACAAATTCATTTTTAACACAACTTCATGTATTAACAGGATATCCCAGGTTTGATTTTATTCATGATACCCGATCTTTGTTTATTTCGCAACCCTTCAGAGTAAAAGCCATCACTAACCTTGAGTCGGATTTGTTCTGGCATGCGTTCAGCCTGGTAGGTCAGGATGACTGGGTCACAGTACCTTCGACCCTCAGACCTTGCATGTTTGCGGAGATCAAATTCGGTAGCCAGACGTTTATCTATCTCCGGTATTGCCTTCTCCACTGCTGTCTTTTGTATGAACACACAGGCTAGTTCTGTGTTTTCCTGTGCCACAAGTTGGGCAGCCTGTTCAATCATCTCCTTCTGTGCTGGTGTAGCACCCTGTAAGTACCCAGCATATATTTCCTTTCAAATTGATATGCAAGTAAAGATTATCTTTTTAATTTATGTCACAAGTTCTGATGATAATTGGAAGTTCTGGTGACAAATTTTTAGACATTGTATGCATATCATTGTTCAGATCCTAAATGAAATTTCCGTGAGTGAGTTGTGTTGATGCAGAGATACAGAAATTCTGACTTACCTCATTGACCCTAAGCGTTGCCATGAAGGCACTCTTGAGGTTGTTGTTGATGCTGAGGTAGAGGGGTTCACGTGATGTGATTAGAGCCAGACCAGCTGTCATATTGCGTACCATGTGGTGGGCTGCTGCACGCATGCGGTTCTCCTCAGGGTCAAGGGCAAAGTCCTATAAAATCAGTTCTTTTATGTAAGTATTTGAGAAAACTTGAGGAAATTTTCTGTCTTTTAAAATACAAATTTAGGAAACTCTGTGCATATGTAAGCTTAATGATAATCAGTTTACCGTTAAATGTATACTATAGTTATAAATTTATTTTACACACTAAAGCTTTAAAACACATACCATATAGATGTCGAAAGTTTACTTCACCAAATCACAAGCAATTTCAAATTGATCTCACCTTTTTGATGATCTGTTCACAGGTCTGAAGTGTGATTTTGATGGTACGTTCTACCACAGGGGGCAGAAGTTCCTGGATGGACTTTTCTAATGCTATCTTCACTAGCTGCTTAAGATTAGGGTTTCCTTGAAACAACGGAATCTGAAAAATAAACAGGAAATGTCATATATATTGATTTGAAGTGGACCTACAAAATATGGAATTATTGTACTTTTGATGCTATAGAAATGTATTGTGATATTTGTTTCACTTTTGTCTTAGATAAAGGAAACTGCTGTAGAGTGCAAGTAAACAAATCTACTTGGTAGTTTCAGAGCTAATTGTCCATTTTATCACCAGAAAGATATCTTCATACATGCTTAAGGTTGATGAATTGAATGAAATTAATTTCACACCAATTTTCTAAACACATTTAGGTTGAAACAAGTTCAATTTACTATATGTAACTAAAGGTATCAAAAGAAATTCATGCAGAGGAAATTCAATACCTGGTCACTTGTCACAATGTGAGCTCCAATACTGTTCAGATTTGCTGTCACAATTTCGTCAAAAGCAAACTGTGGCCTGGGTGGCATATTGGGTGTTGTCGTAGTGACTGTAGAGGCGACAGTTGTTGTAGATACTGGGGGAGTTGGGACGGGAGCCGTGAGCTGCACCAAAGGTTGCTCAGGCTGTGGTGTGGGCATGGGTGGTGGAGGCAGGTTCTTAACCATGTTAGACAGCTGGGGCTCTGTTGTAGATATTCGGGATGTGTCCTTCAGGTATGTACTAGGATTCAGCTCCTGAGGAGATAATAGGTAATTTATTATCATGGTAAACACTATCCTCATTGCAATCTTTCAGTGTTATCAATTCACACTCCATATACAAGGAAAGCACAACAGTTCAGTCAGTAGAACAATTGACTAATGTACCTTCAGGTGAAAACCCAAGGTCTATGTTTCCATCCCCATCTAGATGGTGTTTCTGAGGACATCTGAGGTCATCCTGTGCTGGAATGTTTGTGTCTTTAGACAAAAGACACCTGACCACAACTGTTCTAGATACTAGTAATATGCAGCAGGTCTCCAAAAAGATGTTCAGAAATGTACCTTCATCTGAGGTTGCAAAGTCAGATGCTCTATCCACTGAGATACCCGAGTGAATTTCATCAAGTATTCTTACAAGTATGGGAAAAATACTTTTCAACACATGATGGCAAAATTTACCACAGATTTAATTTCACTTCAAAGAAAGAACTCAACATAACAAATACCAATTTTGTAAGTAAAATCCATTTCTTAGGAGAATTAAGTGGTCAATGCTCTGTGATATCTTTGCTAAAGAGGACAATAAAAATAATACTTACATTAAGATCCAGTGTCAATGTTTTACATAGCACTTCTATCTCAAACTTGAGGTTGAGCTTCAGATCTGGCTCCTGGTGGAGTTCTGCTAGTACATTCATTATACCAATAGTCCAGGGATTTGGTGGCCTGAACACCTGTCAACAAAAAGAAATGTTACTGAAGTGCTCCTAAATTCTATCCCTGCTTCTGACATCATGTATATATACCTGATGGTCACTAAAAAGTAGGAAGCTTTAGAGGTACTGAAATCTTCTTTATTTCATCATAAATGTTAAAACTTATCTTTCAATTTTTTGGACCAGTATAAATATCTCAAAGCACAAACATTCTGAGCTGATTTTGCACAAAAAGTTCAGAGATTTAAAAATCTGAAGATCCAACCAATTCAGAATCTAACTCTAAATCAGCTAAATGTTCCAATGTACATGGATATAAGGACCTATTTTATGATAATTAAAGTAGTTACATATATTTTTATTTTTTAAACTGTATTATTCCAGTAATAATGTCCATCTTACCTTGCTTTTGGCACACGATTCCAGCACCTTGGCTGTGAAGGGTACAACATAGAGCAGTTCCCTGGCTCCTTTGTGGTAGGCCTCATACAGCAGAGCCTTCAGATCTATGTCCTATAGCACATAGAAATGTTTAAACACTGAGCAATACTTATCTAACATGTAAACAAACATTTAATACAAAGAAAAACAGTAATAATACATAACACTTCCATTAGATTCCAACATATTACACTATATTATTTCAACAATTTCATTTCAAATAATATCAAAATTGCACACTTTCCATGACATGAATCACACTTTAATGATGAAGCTAACAATTTAAAGAACATTAATAAAAAAGCAATCGATGGAAGCAACCATCTTATACTAAGATCTCCTATTGATTCAAACTAGCTGTTGTCCAATACACTTGGAATTTTTTACAACCAAAGATGAGTGATAGTTGTGCTTTCATTTTTGAACAGAATACATCTTATTAATTTCATTTCTTTTAGCTTCACTTGTGCCTATAACAATTATGTATCAACTCAAAAAATTATCGTAACACAAGATGACCTCTTTCACGCTGCATGGCATTCCTTTGAAATCAAGCAATAAAATACATATGCTGTACATGAAGACGCATATATGCATATACCTATCAGAGAACCCTAAGCATGTATTGCTGAATTCTTCTTAATCTCTATTAAAAGATATATTTTTTGTTTAATACATGAGACTATTTTGTTTTATAGATAAAAAACAATGTTTCTTTTCCTTTCAAGCTGTGTTTTGGTAATTTGAGTTTGTTTAGGTAGAAATGTTATGTCATCAACAACAGTCATGAACATGACGACCCCATTATAACCCACCAAAAATTATTCCAATTCACTAGTTCCTTGAACTTCGAAATATCAAAGTGTGAATGTATTTTCCTAAATAGTGATAATATGATTGAATGGTCGAGAACATCAACTAGGCATTGATAACCATAGCAAAGAAAGTGAAAGAGTATAAGTACTAACTATCTGCAGAATGGGTTTGTTCTTTGCCAATGTTAACATGCCAAGCCAATGACCAAGGTTCTTGAGCAGAGTTCTGTCAGAGAAGTTGGCATCACCTTTGTCACTTCTCAACAACACCTGGTAAGCAAAAGATAAATATTAATTATGCTTTCTATGCAATATTGCTCAAAATTATCTTCTCGATACAAATTTCTTCAAAAACTGAAAAAGTAAATATATTTATCTCAAATACTAAAAACGTCCCATTACAACTATTCATATTTCTACATAAATTGTATTTGTTAGATATAACAAACTTTCAAATAAAGTACCTGATGAACACATCTGTGAATGTAAGTTTTTATAAATATTCTGAGGTAACAAGTTCTATACATGTTTCGGTGAACTTTTAGACATTGATATAATATATTAAGATTGTCTTTGATATCACTTTAAAAGACTCCAGTTTATTTACCTATATGGTCACATAGGTATAGAGATATGAAGATCATTTACATATAAAGTCTGAACTACTTGTCAACAAACCCGTGCATCAATACCACAAACAATATATATATAGAATTATGAGAATTTAAACTGGTTAACCGCCTTATGTGTTGATCAAACTTGTCAAACTAGATATCAGTTATACCTTGATGTTCCTGAATGTTTCCCTAATGACCATTTGAGTGATATCAGGAATCTGCAGTGCATCTAAGAAGTTGGCATACAGGGTATGGAAGTTTGGTTCAATGCTTGCTCTCTTCATCACCAGGTACTGAGCTGACCAGGCATAGTAATCCTCTGTGATCTCCTTCCTTAACTCTTCTGCCTGCAATTAGTCCATACAGATTACACACAAATTCATCAAGAAAAACTAATTACTGGTTTTTCTTTACATAACCATCCACGCAGCATAAAAGAACAAGTATAACAGATAGTCTTAAGATTGATTAACATCATTTAAATTTAAACTACAAGTAAATCTAACTAATAAAACATTAAAAAAACATGGCAAAATAATTATCTAGGGACTTTTCCAGTAACACATCTATCATCTCCTGCACTACAAAATAAATCACTTCTATCCACTTTCAAGTTCCTTGTCTATAATTCCTAATTATTAAATCATATTCTATGGATGGTACCTCTTAACAAAAACTGGAGTCCTGGGATAGGAAAAAGGTTTTACTGGAATAGCCCTGAACACAAGCTGAAGTCCTGGGATGGGAAAAAGGTTTTACTGGAAATGCCCTGAACACAAGCTGAAGTCCTGGGATAGGAAAAAGGTTTTACTGGAAATGCCCTGAACAAAAGCTGAAGTCCTGGGATAGGAAAAAGGTTTTACTGGAAATGCCCTGTACACAAGTTGAAGTCCTGGGATGGGAAAAAGGTTTTACTGGAATAGCCCTAAACACAAGTTGAAGTCCTGGGATGGGAAAAAGGTTTTATTGGAATAGCCCTAAACACAAGCTGAAGTCCTGGGATGGGAAAAAAGGTTTTACTGGAAATGCCCTGAACACATGTTGAAGTCCTGGGATAGGAAAAAGGTTTTATTGGAATAGCCCTAAACACAAACTGAAGTCCTGGGATGGGAAAAAAGGTTTTACTGGAAATACCCTGAACACATGTTGAAGTCCTGGGATGGGAAAAAGGTTTTATTGGAATAGCCCTAAACACAAGCTGAAGTCCTGGGATGGGAAAAAGGTTTTACTGGAATAGCCCTGAACACAAGTTGAAGTCCTGGGATGGGATAAAGGTTTTACTGGAAATGCCCTGAACACAAGCAGAAGTCCTGGGATGGGAAAAAGGTTTTACTGGAAATGCCCTGAACACAAGTTGAAGTCCTGGGATGGGAAAAAGGTTTTACTGGAATAGTCCTAAACACAAGCTTAGCCCTTAAAGTACTGAGAGTGATATGTTACGCCCTTGCTTACCTTCTGGTTCATGTTGGCCATTGAGAGATTGTTAAAGATGAAGAAAACTTTGTCCTGAATGGACTCGGGAGGTATTGAAGACTCCTCATTACCCTGACCAGCCAACAGGGTGTCGATGTTGGTAGCACTCGCAATGGACGGCTGTAGATAAAAGGTTTCATTTGAGAAATACACACAAGCAGAATCAATAACTCAATAACACAAACATTTTCAAGGTATACCAGTTATTTTCTATTATAAATAGTGATTATAACAAATCTACCTTGGGCAAGCTGCTTGGTTTTGTGGTGCCCGTGGTAACCACTGTTGTTGTAGCTGTGGTTGTTGTGGTAACAGCAGCAGGCGTAGGGGCTGGAGCAGGTGCTTGGGTTAGTGTTGGTGCCATTGGTACTTCAACACTTGTCACTGCAGTACTGGTTGGTGTAGGGGTTACTGTCGGTGCAGTTCCTGTAAAAGATACCCCACCAACTGCTGTTGGGGTTAAAGTTCGTGATATGGAAGGAACTGGAGGTTCTTGTGATCTGGCCCCATATTCCACAAACTGAAACAGAAAGAACATTAAAGTAAAATACCAGTAATTGTCAAGTCCCTTTGTATTAAACCATGCTTACAAAATAACAGAATATCCAAACTTACAACCACTTTCTATTTCCTTCACCTTTGAATTATCAGCTCAAGATTATGTACTTTTGATATGTTCTATAAGGAGTCCTATAAAAATAAATTAATATTGAAAGGAAATATATATTCTGCACCATCCTTTTGTATTACTGCCAATGTTCATTTTGTAGTCCTATGAAAATAAATCTGATCAATAGCTTATATCTATTTACAGTAATTATAGGTTTGACTTGCCTCAATAAGATGTTGTGGAAACTGCTGGAAGTGAGGAATGGCAGCAAGATGTTGACAGTACTGTGGATAGTCCTTCAATCTGTAACAACCAAAACAAATCATATACAAACCAGATCATTTAGTAACATTCATCAGCTTATATTTCAAACTAAAAAATGTCCTTAATGCCTCCTCTCCCATTCACACAAAAATCTGATCAGATGTAGGACATGATCTGATGATACTATGGTGAAAGAAGGAACAAAATCTGTTGGAGAATCTAAATATATGACACTGATTTTTTAATGAGAAGGGACAGAATAAAAACAAAGACAAAAAAAGAGCAAAATTTTATGTTAAACCTTCCCCATCCTCTCTCTCTCATTCTCCTTAACAACACTTTTGATTTGTCTTTCATTTTCTAGAAATCTCTTCCACTATCTTAAGATGTGACATGACTTGTCTAACATTGGAAAAACTACATTAATAACTGTATCAAGATTTTTCATAACTAGAATATCAAAAATATCAAAACAATTATATGATTTAATGTTTGGAGCACAATTCCAAACTGCTTCAATTTTTTACTAACATAACTGTAATGTGTATTCTTTTTTTATTTCTTTTTACTTCAGTTTAAATATGTAAAAACCTTCGGCAGCCAACTGACCTTGTTTTGAAGCGATCCAATGCAGCAATTCCAAAGTAATACATTTTAGAATTGAGCTGTTTCTTCAAAGCCTCCAGCACATACCGTAAGGCAATGCCAAGTGCCATGTAGCTGAAACAGGAGAAAATTCATTATTCAAGTACAATATCATTTGATTTTATTTTTGAGCAATGATGAATAGTCATTATCATAATTAAATCTCAAATGCCATTCCAGACATGTAACTGAAATAGGAGAAAATTCATTATTCAAGTACAATATCATTTGATTTCATTTTTGAGCAATGATGAATAGTCATTATCATAATTAAATCTCAAATGCCATTCTAGACATGTCATTAGGGAAATTCTATAAGTAAGAAAGTATGACTGTTAAGAACAAAGTACTGGTTGGTGCTGTTCAATGATCTTATCATTAAAGTTTTTCTTCACACTTATCCAATTTTACCAGGGAAAGTTGTTATCAATGGAGATTTAAACTGGCGATTCCCGATAAACAAAGAACTAAAAGACATTATCAGTGTTCAATCAGAGAGGGGAAATAACTCTGTAATAATCGTGAGTAATCTGCTGTAACTAAATCATTATTTCATGCTGCTTTTACAGTACATCTTACACAATAAAGAAAGGTATTCTATTCTGTAAATACAACTGTTCAATTTATATATCTGAATAAGATGTTACTCCTTCATTATCAATTGAGCTCTGTTATAGATTTTGAATGTATACATAAAAGTGTAGCAGTATCAATATAGAGCAACGTGGACACTTACGTAGCTAGTCCCTTTTCAATGATCCCTCCAAATAAAACAGCTGTGATATGAAGCTCTCTCTCAGGATACTGGGGGAAGAATCTGTACTCCTCAAATAAATTACGTAGCATACACTCATACACATCCTGGAAAAAACATAAGTAAAAATAATTAGGGTTTTGAAATAGCTCAACAGTATTTTCAATCAGAATGGTACTACCTTCTTATCTAAAAACCAAATCATAACTGGACTTACTTCCTAAATATAATTCTAATGATTTCATTGATTTTTCTCTTGACAATTATTAAGTACAGTATAGAAATAGTGATAAGACTTAACACTGTCCCACCTTCTCCCTCCTATTTGGCGAGTCCTTGAATCTTTTCAGCATGTCAAGGACCTCATCAATAGACATTGTTGGGTGAGGATGCTGATTGTAAATCCTTTGGAAATATGAGTTCGCCTCATCCTCAACCTCCCGTGTGAATTGCTGTGACATGTCTGGGAATATAGTGGACATCTCGCCACTAACCTGTGCTGCTAGTGAAAAAAGTTTAGGGGCCATCAAAAAACTTTGTAATATTTCAGTAAGATTTTAAAAGAAATGAATCAAACACAATATAAACGCAAGTTAATTATGTAAAGAGCTTAATACTATACTGGCAAAATCTTTATTCAGAAGTTGAGGTCTGATAAAAATGAAAACTGTCTAGCTTATATCAACTCCTGTTTAGTGTTAAGCACAGATAATTTATCTGTGTAAAAAAATAATGTAAAATAACCCTCAGTACTGCATTAATTTATTGCATTGAATGCAATGTCACTCAGATAGGCAAGCAATTACTTACACATCCCTCCTGCACGTAGTTGTTGTTGCTGTTGTTGTTGTTGCTGCTGCTGCTGCTGCTGCTGTTGTTGTTGCTGCTGCTGCTGCTGCTGCTGTACCTGTTGTTGCTGTTGTTGTTTGATCACAGCCTGGGAACTTATACTCCCCAAGGTGTTTACACCCGGATTCCTGGGCGGTACTCCCATGGGATTAGACATAGACAGACCTGCACCACAGAGAGACAAAATGTGACACTTTATCTAATACATAAGGACTAGGTAATTAAGTCAGATACAATGTTTAAAGCCAGGGTTAAAGGTACAGGGAAAAATCATTGCAACAAAATGTCCTTAAAGACAATTGTCAGTTGAGCAGCAGGTATTATAAATCACTTTCAGTGTAACAGGGTTGAAATATAGAAGACACTTTAGTAAGCAAGAAAGACATTTTATTTAAAATATCTTTACTAAAGAATAATTGCTTCTGTGTACAGCAATACTTCATGACAGTTTAGTTACCAATATCATATTCTAGGAGAAACACAGATAAAAAGTACAAGAAAATCTTATCTGAACCAGAAATTCACGAAAAAGTGTAACTAAGGATGTCATAGACAATTATTTTGGAACTTTTTGGAACTATCATCAAATTAAACTTACTTTGAAGCTGGTTTGTGATGTTCTGCATGGCTCCAAAACCACTTGGTTGTGAGATTGGTTGGAAACCAGCTGCCTTCGCCGGAGATCCAGGTGTAGCTGTGGTGCTGAGAGAAGTGAGGTTTTGGGGGAAACCCGAGTTAACACCCGACATGCCCCATGATTTAGGAATTCCTAATGTATTGGCATTGTCCAAGTTGTCCAGCTGTAACCATTAACAACATTTTCATCAGTAAAGAGAGGTTTGTTCTACTTGCTGTATTAGAATTTTAAGTTATGTTATCAACATTTCATTTAAGTTTGCATTTCATTTCTAATCCTTGTTTTTAATTGCCATTTCAATTAATTTGGCAGGTTTGTCACATTTTTTCTTTAATACAAAATAGAGAAAGTTTGATAGATTTTTCCATTTCAAAGTTGCCATATCGCTTTGCTAACAAATCATCAAACATGAAGATTTTTGAAAATTGTATCTATATCATTAATTGGCTGCAGGTAGCATTACATTTAAAACTATAATGATTGAGGAAATTATCTTCTAAAAGAACAATTGTACAAAAGTACCAGACAGGAATGTGATATCTCTATTCTGTCAGTAATAGTTACAGGCTCAAGTTACATTTACTTAAGAATGTACATCATGACTAAAGACCATACCAGGTTTGACTGTGTGGTTGGTTGGTTAAGTAGAGTGGGCTGAAGGTTGGTTTTCGGTACAGGTGGAGCTGGTCTGGCTTTGTTCAGGATCATACTAGCATTGGTAACCATAGTCATAATGGCCTCGGATAATTCTTGGGACACTTGGCTAGAAATAGAAAAAATCATTGATCAAGTAGGAACACCTGGCCAGAAAAATTGTTTATCAAGCAATACCATTGTAAAAAAAAAAGAAAAAAAAAAGAAATTATTTTTTATGTCATTATCGCCTTAAGGTTTGTACTTTATGCCTTGAGACATATTCTTCACCAGCATTATTATGAGACCCTTTTATAAGCTAGACGAGGCACAAAATCCAACACTGCCATGGCATGATAACACCTGTCAGCAGGTAATGCCAACAGAAGGCATCTAACTAGAATATCAGAGACAAAAGGCCCAAGGCCTTAATGGTCATCTGACTATCAACACTATGATTGCTAATATTCAATTTTTGCCTGACCCAAAAAATAACAACCTCTGTCTTGACTGTTTCCAAGTAAGGGCGGTTCCAGAATTTAATGACTGAGGAGTCAGGCGGCAGATGAATTGGGTTTTTGTGTGGGTGTGTGGGACCAACACTAAAATGTATTTTATGTGTGATCATTGCCATTAAAAACTGAATTATAAGAGAAACTGGTTAAACAGGAACCCACCCCCCAAAAAAAGTGGGACTAAACTCGATACAGAAAATCTGATTTTGTGGGTCAAACAATTCGATTGAGCATTGGTTTCCCTTCCAAAAGTTAAAGGGACATAACTCGTGTTGGTTTTGACACTTGTAGAATGTGAGAACTAATACAACTGGGGAAAAAAATGGCAAAGGAAAACTTGAGTATACCTGAGGTGGCCACAAGGCTTGGCCAAAATGGCCTGGAATCCTTAATGGGGCCATTCACTAGTAAGCATTTTTATTGGTTTATTATTGGTTTTAGTCAAGCTGACCCATAGCATGTTCTTAATACAAAATCACCTCAATATAATGTAGCGGACTTGCCAAGTTTTGTTTTTGCCTGGATTTGACATAATGAGAAAGTAATGACAACATGTGAAATAAATGAAGTAAAAATGAGATATGACGAGTACTTCTATTCACTGCCTTCATCACAAATTTCCAGTATACATATGCTAGCTAACAGATTAAAAATTGACAACTTTCCATGTTCGAAATGTGTGGAGACATTGATTTTGAAATGTCTACATTTGATATGTTTATGCATGCAGAAGTTGGAAATAGCAATCTCTTTCATACATTTTGGGAAAATATAGTGACATTTTTATATTTATTTTTTGGAAAACCTGAAAACATTTTTGCTCAGGGAAGCAACATGTATTTGGCTATGAAAAAAAAGACAACAGAATGAATTGTTTTGAGTAATGTTGTGTTGACATGGAAAATAAAATTCTGACGGGGTTGTTTAAAGTAACAAATTTAATTGTGTGGGTTATTGGATTTAGTTAAAAAAAAACTCTATTGTACACAAGTTTGGGTAATGAACATCTGAATTTTTTGTACAATGCACATCATGCAGGTTACAACTTTACAACGAAACACTTCAAATCCATAGACATGGATTATTTTTCCAACTGATACAGCCTTATTAAAACTACCACACCAGATAATGGAGAAAGGTAGGCTTGTGGAGATGAAAATGGATGCAGGGAAGTAGATCTTGCTTACCTTGCACAGATCTGCAGGCAGGACAACATAGTGGCTATAGTATCTGTTGGTAACATCTGGCTCTTTGCTTGTGGTAGTTGTTCATCTTTGGCTGGACCACCCATTAACTGTGGACACCGTCGCTTCAAGAAGTTCACCGATGTCTGTATGAATGGCTCCTATTCAAATTTAAAATCAAATTGAATATAGCCAATAATTTTAGACCACCCTATGTGTATTTCCAGATGATGCTATTAAGTATATCGAGGAAAAACATTTTTTGACTAAGTCAAGACAATTGTGACAAGATGAAGTAGATCATTAACTATATTTACCCCATGTTCTCTGATTTTGTCTGACAGCCACTTGTCCAACTTCAGATATTCACGACGTGAAGCCAAACATGCAAGGTCAATAACAAAGGCAAATGGTGTTGCATTCAACAGCATAGAAAGGGCCTGAAAAAGAGACACAGTATATACTGAAATGTTAGATCTACTGGTACAATGGAGGTCATCCTCCATAGTACATACAACTGAAATGTTAGATGTACTGGTACAATAGAGGTCATCCCCCATAGTACATACAACTGAAATGTTAGATGTACTGGTACAATGGAGGTCATCCCCCATAGTACATACAACTGAAATGTTAGATGTACTGGTACAATGGAGGTCATCCTCCATAGTACATACAACTGAAATGTTAGCTCTACTGGTAAAATAGATAATCAAAAAATGTGTATGTTTCACTTTCAAAATTAATCAACATGTGCACAGGACAGGCAGATGGACAAATGCAAAGATTGTGCCTAATTTACAATTTTTTCTGAAGATGTTTCACAAAAGAACCATAGGAACAGCATCTGACCTTGAGATCTTGTGCAACATCCAGTATCCTTGAGAGTCGTGTCTGATCATGTTGTTCTCCACGCATGTACCACTCTGCCATTGAATGCATGATCAGGGTTCGGATTGTGCTGGAGTGACCCTGAAACAGTATGTGTAAAGTTTGAAAATCATGTTAAATGCGAAACTACTTTAGAGTTATTCTAGTAAAACATCTAACCCATTCCAAGTTCTGCTTAGGGGTACTATTCATAATATTTAATAAATAATTTACTACATGAAAGAAATCGACAGGTCACAAAACTATGGATAGATGTATTTTATTTTTAAGTCTTTTGGGGCATTACGTTTATGGGGCAAAACTAGTTTCTTGGCACTTAAATGCAACATTTCAGGCATGTACCAGGACAGACTTGCAGGCCTCAAATGGCTAAACCAAAACTCGTCAGCAAGTACAATATGATAAAATTTGCTCAGCCATTCATGAATAGTTGTAATATTCCTATAGCTCACCTGGCCTGAAAGGACCAGGTGAGCTGAAAAAACAGCCGTGGTCCAATAAGAGTATAGACTGTTCTGTTAACCAACCTGACAATGCCAAGCATAATGAAGAACAACAGCTGAGTTTGGATGATTTCCTAAGAAGATGGGCATAAGTGTAGATATCAGCTCCTGTTTGAGTGTGTTCCATGTAGGCTGAAACAGAAGAAAAACTTTGTAGCTGTGACAAGATATTCATTAAATAGGAAACTATGAACACAGAAATACCAAACTTGGTACCAAGGTATTTATAATATGTAAAAAACTATAAATATAAATATACTAGGAAAAACTATGAGTACTGAATACACATGAAATTATCTATTTTGACAATGATATGAATAAATTACCCAATAAGTATTTAGTTCCAATTGTAGTACACTTCCAGTAGTTGCTATATATTTTTAAACAAATAGTAAGGCAGAAAGTTTAAATACTCAGGGAGGAGATTTAGCAGTGATAAAACAGATTTTAACATATGTAAATTCATTTTCAATTAAAACATAATCATTCAAACTTTACAAATGTAAAAGATCAAGCTCCAAGTCAGAGCCTAATTTAATTCATTAATTAATTAAATCTAGTTTAATTCAAACTGTTTGAACAGGAAAATAACTCTCTTTGGATTACTTACTGTAATTTGAAGCAGAGCCAGAACTAGCATGTCTGGACAATTCTGAATAGGGAACTTGAAGAGTTCTGACACCTGCTGGTAATATCCTGCCTCAGACAGTCGCAGTAAAGTTTCCACAAGGTCCAGTGATTTCCTACAAAACAACAGGAGCCAGCTCTGTTTGTGAGAAACCATCAGATAAAAGGACAAATGATATGCCATTTGAGATACTAAGATCAGAAACTATCTCCCTCTCTCTCTCTCTCTCTATATATATATTTTTTTTACCAAAGACATGTTAAAGTCTCATTCCTTATTCTTAGTCTTATTTCATGTCTGGTCTTAAAATTCTCTGCATATAAGTACTGTATATTTAAGTTTCTCTTAAATTTATTTCCCTTACCATGTTCCAATGTCGCGGTTTTCATCGTCTGGAGCAGCTTTCAAGATGTCTATGACCACTGTGTGACAAGGGTAGTCACCGAAGCAAAACACATCTGGGTTACGCAATGCTTGTTTGATGAATGACAACTATAAAGGAGAAAAGCATTCTAGTCACCACCGTAAGAAGTTTCACCAGCTTCTTGTAGAATAATTTTGCACTTTCCAGAACTTAAACATTATGTCAATTACAATGATATGAAAAAATCATTCGACCAATAACACTTTGAAAATTGATCTTTTAATGACACCATAATGTAGGAATTCATGATTACTATTTTTTTCAATGCACTAGCCCAGGGCTAGTGGCCTGCTATCAAACCAAAATATTCATACCACTACTACTTTTGGATTGTGAACTAAGCTCTTCACCAAGATTATTATATAAAATAAAAAGTATTGATTTGTTTATTAGAGGCTGCTATTTTGATGATTATTATTACCTTTGCAGTCATTTTTGTTCAATGTATAGCACACTCTAGCATTTTTTTGCCACAAAGTTTGGACATTGTACAAGGTCAGTGAAAAACACTGATCTCTTATGAAATTGTTCCAGTTAATGATATTGTACAGGGTCAGTGAAAAACATTACTTGTCTCAGTTTATGATTTCAGAAAGCAATTCTCATGATATATGTTTTAGATCTTATGATTAGAAATGATCACAAATTCTTCAGTGTCTATTGAGAAAAAAACATCCAAAGAAAGTCACTAGCCCTAGGCTAGTGTGTCTGCTGTTCCCACTAGCCCAAGCTGAAAACTTAGGAGTCCAAGGTGTCAGGCTAGTGAATTTTTACACCCCTGGTCTATTGAAAATTGTCTAATGAAGATGATTTCGATACCACTCTAGTTTAATGTATAGAATTTAACAAGTTTCTACAGAACTGACCTGTCCCTCTGTGTTCTTCCATGGTCGATATACAAACTCAACAGGAAATACTTCCTGGAGTCCTCGTATCAGTCCCTGCACCAGAAGACGTAGTCCTTTTTTGTTGACCACCATGAACCCTGAGTGATCAAGTTGTAGTACTACATCTCTCCAGTTGAAGTGAGGTGCCTACAAATAAAAAAAATTCTTGTTTTTTTTCTTTTTTAAACAAATCCAGCATTACATAGTGTCTAGTATATTTCAGAATCATATTTAATTTCAACATTAAAACAGAATCAATCTTTTAGTATTTCGGTTAAATTTGTTATATTTATATTAAAACATTAAACACCTCAGAAGTCAGTACTTTGCAGATATAAAAAAAATTTCCAAGGGAGGACCACTGAACTTATCTAGAACCCATTGCTCACATGTCTTAGTATCTCATCCAAAAGAACTCTCCCCACCCACCCCCCACGCACAACTCCTCAATTCTCAGGACATCTACAGAAAAATGGTAGATACATCAGTGCTTGTACTCTGGTCATTTGTATGAAGAAGTGTAGTCACCAAAAGTACACTCTCTATTTTCTACTGGTTGTGTTATAAGAACTACTAGGTAATATGTTGGCCTCCTAGGCTTATTTCAGGATAAACACAGTAATGACAAGGGGAAAATAAAGAGATGGCCAGTTTACATATGAAGTAGAAGTGAAATAAAGACTGATAGGCCATTCAATTGAATGTCGGTAGATCCAGCAAGTTTAATATCAAAAAGACTAATCCCTCTTACCAGATCCTGAATTACACTGACAAACACTTCAACATTCCAGGTGTTCACACCGGGCTTGTCTGCCTTTTCTCCCATATCTGGCCAGCCACTGCCAGGTGCAGCATTCATCTGTAACCGTCAAGTAATATAGATCTACATAATAGCTCATCATTAACTATTCATTATTCTGACTACTCTATAATGAAGTTTCCCATTGATTTTGAATATCTTCAAAGCGAAATTGTTTCACGTCATAAGCATCAAGTGTGTTGGAAAGTTTCCTATGAATATTTCACATGATTAACAGCAAATTCTCTCTTTATTTGTTACATTTCTATCTGCATTTTCAGCAAATGTTAAGAAGTAATTGACAAAACTAGAATAATGAGGTGTAACCAAGAGCAGATTGCCTGACTAATTATATACAACATATATATATTAACTGCTGACAACTGAAGGAAAGATCTCATTTGCGTAATGACAAATTATATACAAAATCTGAAAAGTTCTTACCATGAAATTCATATTTATACATGATACAATGGTTTTTAGGAAGTGTATAAACAATTCATGACTGTCACAAAATTGAAGCACAGACAGCTGTCAAGGAAATTTGAGCAAAATCAACAAATAGAATGGAATCTGTACATAGGGAAAAACAGCAAAACTCTGTACAGAATTGAATGTTAAACAGGAGTACATGATGTTTCATAAAAAAGTCCAATAGTAATGATAATCAAGAGGAAATGATGGAGTGCCTTATAGGTCTTCAATAAGTCTAATAATCAAATAGGTATATAGAAGAGATCTATAATGAGAATGACCCTTTACAGATCCCAATTACTTCCTTACCTGGGCCTGGTTGTGACCCGATTCTGACAACCCAGATGGTGTTCTTGCCATCATTCCCAACACTTTGGCAACAGATGCCGGAGTTATCTCCCTGATACCAAACTGAAGGAGCTTCCCACGGCATTCTTCAACACTGAAATAGTGGTAATGTTTACTATGTCAAAGAAAGGTTAAGTCAGCATCATATATTTTACAACCTTGATTTTCCAAATTCTATAATCTAAGCTGTGAAGTAAGATTTTAAAAATGAAGAAATTACATGAATCTCAGCAAGTTATCAAGTTATAACAAAACCGATATGAAGTATATTATCAACAACATGTTCAATCATGTTGACACATTTCCATGGTAAATATTGCCACAATACTTCTCTATTCTATCCCTCTCTCCCTGCCTTCTTTTGTATTATGATATTTTGACAGTCAAAAATGTAAACAACTACTGATTTATTTGGTAACATCAACCTATCTAATAACACTTTACAAAATACAAAAATTTCCACATATAAGATTAACTTCAAACTCCTACATAAAAAATCAAGTAGTACTACCTCATGGTACAGCTGTACCCAGCCTCCAGAACCATGTCTGCCAGTGATGCATCAAGCTGTGAAATATAAATATCATTCTGTAATCTAAACTTTTTGATAAATAATTTTATTTAAATGCCAATTAGAGGCACCCCAATACTCCAAATATTCACACAATATACAAGACAAAATCAAAACTACAATAATCTACATTATTTTGAATACATGATTAATTCTTTGGTTAAGAGTTTTTCAGTGCATGTTAATATGAAATTTCACACAAAATGTACAGTATGAATCACAATTTGATGTAAAATACTTTATAGAGATTTAATTTCAATCGGTGAAATTTTGTCATATTCCCAGGAATACAGGACCTTCACTTTCATCGAACACATCACTAATTTCACAATTAGTATGTTGCATATATTTTTTCTAAATTAATATAAATAAAGATGAAATCTCAAAAGCTAAATATTGAGATTTCATTTTCATGAATCACTTCAGCTTAACGGTTGGATAGTTTTGACATGGCCTCTGATGTTGCTATACAACAGACTTCAGTAGGTATGTAGTATCCAAGATCTTTAATATCTTGCTATGTCCCCTGATCATAGGTTGTCAAATATTTGGACTTGTTTGAGTTATTTTTTAACGCTCTGTCACTATCTTACCACAGATATTTGGACTTTTTTTAGTTTTTTATTTTTCTACGCTCTGTCACTATCTTACCACAGATTTCGGCATGTTTGTAGTATCCGAGAGCTTTGGTATTGCTATGTCCTCAGACTCTGGGTAGAGCAATGGTCCCAATATGACCGGAACACGGTTATGTGGAAAATCTACAATGGAATATTTTTATAGTGTTAATATTGAAATGATCTTGAAACTTTTTCTGTTTTTTAGCATTTATCTGTTTAATGAAATTCCCTTTTTTAAAAAAAGTCTTTGATTAAACTTTGATTACTATGAACACTTTTAATTTTATACACTGCTTTACAGGCAGGACACCTCTGTGCTAACAGCAATACTTTTGTCTCAAATTCTGAAACAAAATGATCACATTTTCATGAAATTATGCTCTGAAAGGAATTAAGAAGTCTGACCTTTTCTAAGTGTTCTATAGAAAGCCTCCCTTTGTTCCGCACCAAGTCCAAAGTTGTCCTTGTTGTTCTGGATTTGGTTAAGCAGAAGGTGGAGTATTTCAACGTCCACGTCCTGCAGGCCGCCTTCCTGACGCAATCCTGAGTCTACTGGAAACAGTATAACATTGGTTTTCCTAAAACCTTTGTCTACTATGGAGTGGAGAAATGGGTTAAGTTCCCAAAACATCAGCAACAAATAAAAGTTAAGGAGAAAAAACTGTTCTGCAAAGAAGTACACATGACTGGGATTTTACAATGTTTAAAGGTGTATAGGAACACAAGATATACATTTCAGCCCATGTTGATAACTAACAAAATGAAAGTAAACTTCACAGTAAATAATTCAAATAGCATGAACACTTGTGTACCTATTACAACCTTAAAACTTCCTTTTCTGATCAAGGAGACAGAATACTTACCTGCATCAACATAAGATCTAATGAGATCAGGCAGTTTCTGTTTGACAAACTGTATGGCAAGAGGACGAGTCTCAGCACTTGAAGAGTTTATCAATGCTAATCCAAACACTACTTCTTGTACACGGGTCAGCTTCAGGACCCGACTAATTTGTGGGAAGAGGTGCACCGATGGACGTAAACACTGAAATTTGGAGATACCATTTATATATTTAGCATTGATCACCACAATCAACTTAAATGATCTAACAGAAGGTAAGAAAAACTTACAATAAATGGTTGTTTTCGTAGTTATAACGAAAGCAGCCATGTTACGGCTTGATATTTCATTATGTTTAATTTTCACCTGATAAATAAGATTGTTTTCATATTTTCCAAGAAGATATAAACTAGCTTACTATGGTATCTATTTTTTATAGGCTAAAGCACAATATTACAGCTCACTATTTTGCAACCGTTCCAGAAATTGGAAGTAAGTTGAAATTTCAGTGTCACAGAAGGGATGGTATTATGTACCAACAATATCACCACATATAGTGTGCCAATTTGCTGGTAGGTCTAGAGGTTATCAAAGCAAAGAAAATTTCTTCCCTCTCAAAAAGCAAGTTCATGACCAATGCATTCAATATGCATACTTCTTCCATCATGGAAATGACAGCAATTTTGATAGTTTAATCATATTTCATATACAAAAAACATTGATGCATTAAAACCATCCTGTTTTTGATTTTATATTACTCTTATTTAAAAGGCCTTAGGCCCATGCTCTATATTCTCTAGAACTTTTATAACTATCATACTAGCAGGCTTGAGATTCCTAACCAAGCTTGTAGCTAACATGAGATACCTCTACAGGTTTGTAACAGTAACAGGTTTACCTTTTGATGGTGTAATGGATTATCAATGGCGTAACACAATGTTGACACAAAATTTGGTTTGCTCAGCAAAGAACCAAACTCCTGTATCAAAAACTGTGTCTGAAATGAAAAAGAAAGAAAAAATATCTATAACAGAAACCACTGTGTAAAACATTTACATTCTGATCTTATTTCTTTTGGATTAAAATGTGTATGGAAAGCATGCTAATTTGAAAATTACAAATATATTTATTTAAAGCTGGAATGGTTGATCAAACATGGCAAAAATTACCTCAGTACCAAGAGAGAATGACTTTTATCTTAAATTTAAAATTAATGTTACACATAAAACTTTGGTGTGTTGCTGCTATAAGAATGATGTATACTTTTGTGAGGAAGACACATATTCTACCAAAATTGTGAATATTTTTACCTGGTGAAAGTCTTTTCCACTGCTTCTACCATCACCGCTGAAGTCTACATGAGAGAAAAGGCACCGAAACAAATGCCTATCTGCTTCAGCTCCGTGTTGCAGGACAAGCTGTAGAAAAATAATTTGGAAAATATAAGAAAACTGTTTTTGGATTTAATGAAAGTATGAGAGTCAACTTCATGCAAATTTCTCAGAGAACACTGGCTTGAAACATACAGGCTGGGAATAGTTGTTTCTCCACTGATTATACACAATGATTCCCCCTGTGCATTTTCCTTAAACCTTTGAAACAGCATTTCTTTCCAGTTCTGCAGACTCAGCTTATTTGTTGCACATGGCTTAAAACAAACAGTTACATCTCTGTTGGATACTGCTATCCAAACACCAAATTCAGGGTTTTTACATCGGCACTGTTTCCTGCTCTACAGACATGATAAATCATTTACTGTTTGCTCTTTTTTCCATTTTATATGCTACTCTTCTTGGCTTAATGAATTTTGAAGAAAGACAGGGTATCTAAGCACTTATGAGTACTAATGTTCATTGACAGGTCATATTCAGACCACCCAGTCCACAGTTTGATCCCCAGCTGTTGTGGAGAAAGAGTCAATTATGTGTAGGGTTAGTTGTTATTCCATCACTATTATATGAAAGTATCCTTGGTGTGTCTTCTTCCACCACAGAAAAAAATGTCTCCTTAACAGTGCCACTAGTGTAAAAGGAGCAGGTCTTTGTGGTTTGTATATAATTAAATATGGTATCTGCCACTCAGTTGATGGAGCATGCTTCATTAGCTTAGTTGGTAGATCTGCAGATTATCACACAGCAGTTTGATTCCTGCTAGATCTCTCGAAAGGATAGCATTATTCCTGTTCTATTGAAAAAAACAAGCTTTAACATATGAAACTCATCAAAATCATCAGTGACTTTTCTTCATTTACCAAAATGGATGCTTCCTGAAAAATGACAACAATACTAATTCTTTACAGAAAGTTTGTGTGAAGAAGGGTATATATTAATGACTGCACCAAACAGTGTATTAATTTCTTATCTTTTTCAAAAAGGTCCAAAATGTGGCCGAGTTGACTTGGTCATTCCAATGACAATGCACACCATGACATGCACATTTGCTTAGCGTTTAGAATAATTATCCATAAAATCATTATCGATATCTCCGAACATGTTGGATCATAGATTTTGTTTTTCAAAAGATTCAAAATCAAAGAGATAGGATGCTGATTTATTTTTCGGTTGTACCATTTAGAAAGTGAAATTGTTTGATCAGTCAGCTCACAGCAAACTCGCCAACAAAGGAGTATTGTAATACTCGATATGAAAAATGAGTATAATACTAATTATAAATATCTATACAACTATTAAGATATACATACATGACTTATTTCTCCAACGCTCGATTTGAAATTCTTCTTTGTTAAATTGGATACTGAATAGCTTATTTCTGCCAAGGCAAATGATAACGAGTCAAGATTCATATTATTCCATTAATCAGCTTGCGAAAGCCCCAAATCCCTTTGAAGCTTTCTCTTTCCAATAGTCTCGCTTACTATACAGATGATATGTACAAGAGTCATTTGCGGCCCAAACCGGCCTTGCATCAGGATATTTTCCTTTCTTCACATTGCGCTCATAACTTTCGACATGGCGTCACAGCGGCCATGTTCTTTCTGACACCGGAGATTCCCGATGTTAACCGGAACTCAAGTTCTTCAGATCACGTGCTCTTTGACGAACCTGAAATATTGCATTAGGAAATTAATTAATTTGTAAGTTTGTACTATAATCTTGTTCTCAAAATATTTTCCTTTGAATACATGCATGACCGTATTAAAAAACAAACTAATTAATACTTCAATCAATCAAAGATAAGACACAAATTATTAAACGCACGTCCCTGAACGCATACATTCTATATCACGGACGAAGAATCAGGGGTTATGTATGCAGAGGTGAAAGTGATATTAAACTGTATACTGTAACTGTTAAAAAGGGGGAAAAAGCAAAATTAGATTGACATGAATATATGCCAGTCATGTTGCAAATAGAATTAGAATGCTCAGAAAGAAGAAACATTCGTTGAAATTCGGCATAGTTTTTAAGGAATGTCTGTTAACGTAACATGATCAAATACCTTCGCGTTTATCGGGGGAGAGCGGGGTTTAGTGATTAATCATTCAGGGCCTTAAACAATATTTTAATGCTTAACAATTGAAAGTAAATAAAAAAAATAGTCTCCGTTAAAAGCAAACTATATTGATTCTTTTTATCAACACCTGTTTTCATTTTTCGCTTAAAAATTCCGACGAAAAAAGAAATTGCTTACAAAGAGCTTCAGATTGGTATGTATTTTATTATACATAAACAGGCTTGTTTTTTAGGAATAGTTTCTAGCCTTGTTTTGGCACAGCAAAGATGACCTACGTTGAATCAATGTCGTGATGGAATATAAAATAATACACAACATTTATACAGTCCCCTATATAATTTCACAAATTACGCTAAGGCACTTTACAGTGCATGTAAAATTTCAGTCATGGTATCAAAAATACATTATACATCTACATATATGTATGATATGCTGATTATTGTATACGCATGATCACCAGAAAAACACCATATGTATGTAAATGTAGCACAAATGACTAGTCTAAGAAAAAGCACACCTGAACAGATGGGTCTTAACACCCTTTTTGAAAGTGGCGAGTATTGTTGTTTTCCTGGTTTGTATATGCATGTGCGTCACGGAACACTTATTAAATAGGAATGTTTTATATTTTTTATTTACATCAAAAACGGCAGTTTTTATGAGACGGTTCAAAGGATTTTGTATGATGATATGATACAAAAATATAAATAAATAGATAAAACAAACAAACCGGGCATTTCTGATTTCTTGTTTTAAGGCGGGTTGGGGTTGCTAAGAGTCTCGTCTCTATATTACCAGGGTTTACATAATTTTCATTTCCAGATATATCCATCATATTCCCACCATCTCCTTCTTCTGTCCATAGAAGATGGGAGAAGTGGAAGGGGAGGGAGTTTGGGGGGGGGGGGGGATAAAAGTCCCATCTCTATATTAGTACAACACCGAGCTTCCGCCTGCCGGGATATACATAATTTTCATTTCCAGATATATCCATCATATTCCCACCATCTCCTTCTTCTGTCCATAAAGACGGGAGAAGTGGAAGGGGAGGGAGTTGGAGGGTGGGGGTGGGGTGGGGGTGTGGGAGGGTGTTGTGAAGGGTGGTTTTAAAAGTCCCATCTCTATAATATTATAACTCCGAGATTCTGCCTACCTGAATTTACATTATTTCCTTTCCAGATATATAGCCATAGTATTCCCACATTCTTCTGTCAAGAGAGGATGGATTTATAACCGTTTTAGGCCTATGTAGAGGGGTTTGTTCGACAGATGGGTCCGAATATCGAATATTTAATAATTTAATTTTCCATACAACACAGTTGTATATATATATACACCATGAACTAAAATAATAATAACAATAATTTGGAATACAAGATTTTTTCCACATAGACCTATATTGTAAATGTACTAACAGAAATATTATGATATACGAAAAAATGTAAAACCGCTTTGATTTTGGTTTCAAATTTATACGCTATTTCCGTCCGGGTCTACTTTCATTTTAGCCTCCAGTGACGTCATAGAAATAGCGGAAGCTGATTCTCATTCTGACATTATGAAGATGGCATCCATTCAGTTGCTCGTTCTGCTGGCATCTCTACAGTTTGCGTCGGCAATACGTACATGTAAGTTCTGGTTCAACAATGTTATTGATACTAGGAATATATAGAAATAGTAGCATACTACGTGAAAATGTTTTGGTGACTGATCGTATCCAAGACGTAGCTGGTCAGTTATATTTTGCGTTGTCCCCGGGGATTTTCATTTCAGAGCTCATTGACCACGCTAAATGAAGAGGAAAAAAAATACAGTCATATAGTTATTATATCAAATATATTTCCACTAAGACTATCACACAAACAGAGCCAATGAGAGCAATAGATTACTAGATATATATGTATATTTACAAACCATGCATGATATCTATTAGACTATGTTGCATGTGATCGTTATCAGGGTTATTATTGGTTGAATTTATGAATGAAGGCCTTAATTTGGTAAGCAACCAAAATGGATGCAAAGTCTTTTTGTTAATATGAAGTATTCCTTTGGTGTCTTTGATTTAGATGATAAATCATCTGTTATCATATCAGTTGACATCTGGCCACCAACCTACAAACTAAGCAAGTGTGTGTTAGGCCCTGTCATCACTGATTATTACAGTGGCAGATTTCAAACTTTTCCATTGACGACAATGTACAAAACAAACAAAATATCGTTCATTCTGTCATTCTCACCAAGCAATGGCAATCTTCCATTAAGTGTAGACTTATCTTCATTCTCTGCTATTTTCTATCCATAGAATTCCCTTTTAGCATCTCTTCCTTTGATTTCACGCAAAGCATTGTTTAAGCAGGATCAGTATTTTCTTACCTTTAGTTTCTAAATATCCGTGGTAACACACAGGTTACTGGGGATTGTTGAAAGTTTCCAAAGAAGAAAAATCCTTCGATAACATTCACTGCTGCAAGAAAAAATCTTAAAAAGGGCTCATTTCCACATTGTACCTGTTGCCAAGGAAAATCTTAAATGAATAAGTGAGAAACATGCTACTGAGTCTGTGACGTCTTTTTTGTCCCTAACCAGTTTCCCCAGGCCTGTTGAGCATGCCCCAGGGTAGCAACGGCTTCGCCCTCCATCATCAGCAGCATGGTGTCCGCTGTCATAGATATTTTGGGCCTTATCCATGTATATCTGATAGCGAGTGGCCCCACTGTTCTACGGTGTGGAGGTTGATAGCTTTGAGCACTTCTCCTCGTGTCGTAGCCACAACCAGCTAGACGCACGCTCTGCAATTTGACTCAGTCTTTGGATCGTCCTGCGCCTTGCCCTGCCAGTGGTCCCAATTGCTGCCATCAGTCAGCACACAGACTGGAAATGAAGGGATCCATTTAACACAGTTACTGCTGCTAGAGAAAATCTGAGAAAGCGCTCCATTCTATATAGTTGCTACTGCTGGTGAAAATCTGAAAAAGAGATCCATTCCATACAGTTACTGCTGATAGGTAAACTCTAAATAAGGGATTTTACTCAACACAGTTACTGCTGCTAGAGAAAATCTGAGAAAGCGCTCCATTCTATATAGTTACTACTGCTGGTGAAAATCTGAAAAAGAGATCCATTCCATACAGTTACTGCTGATAGGTAAACTCTAAATAAGGGATTTTACTCAACACAGTTACTGCTGCTAGAGAAAATCTGAGAAAGCGCTCCATTCTATATAGTTACTACTGCTGGTGAAAATCTGAAAAAGAGATCCATTCCATACAGTTACTGCTGATAGGTAAACTCTAAATAAGGGATTTTACTCAACACAGTTACTCTGTTTGGGAAAATCTTGATAAGGGGTTCCATGCCACATAGTTACTGTTATTGGGTATGATATTAATTAGGAGGTCCACTCTATATAGCTTTTGCTGCTAGGGAAAATCTGAAGAAGATGTTGTTTGGGATCAGAGCTAGTACCAGTTATAGTGTATTTCCAGTGTTGTGACACTACTAGCAAGAATTGTTATCTCTTGTCGCTTGCACTCTTTCAAGTACTCTTCATTCAATGCACTCACATAAGCATAGACAGATGTATGAAGATGTCTTTCCTGTTGTCTAGTATCATAATATTGTCACGATTATGAGTTCACTGGTTACAAAATTTTCACTGTCAATATAGATGTGTCAGTTACTAAGTTCCCCTGGTAACCCCAGTTACCAAACACTACTATAAGCCAGAGTTACCAAACACTCTTGTACTTCTAGTTACTGAGCACTCTGGTAACCCTAGTTACCAAGAACCCTAAATAGCTCCAGTTACCAAGCACCTGGATATTCCCAAGTACCGTAAAAACCCACGTAATGTCCGCATCTGTGTAATGTCCGCACCCCTTTTTTGACACAAAAATCTGGGGAAAAAACCCACCTTCCATGTAATGTCCGCGGGTAAAAAATGCAAATTGAAGCTGCCGATTTCATTTCACGTACGCTAATGTCGTAATGGCCGAGAGCATGTCGCATTGTGTATAACATACAGGTACCATTCAAGAATTCACTTAATTGTTTATAACAACAGTTATTCTCCATAATGGTACAGTAAGCTTACCAGTATGACAAGTCCTCATGTCGATAAGTGGTGTTTTGATAAGGGTTAGCCCAGCAGTGTTATAAACAGCTTGGGTCGTCTCCTCACCTCGAGTGTGAGTGAGTGACAGCGTGTGATTAGCCAATTAACGATAACTATACAGTAACATGACCCGCCCATGACCCACGGCGCCACTGACCCTACTGACACACCATCAGACGACGAGAACGCCATTTATTACAACGACCAGACAGAGGAAGACAACTTCAACGCCGAGGAGTTCTTCCACAGTGACGACGACGACGACTTCTGGAGTTTCGAGAAACGCGATTAAAACGGCCTGCTATGTATTAAGACTTTCTGATAAACGATCCATAATCAATAAAACGTCTGATTATTTATTTTATTCTTGTACATGTTATTTATTGTTATTTTGTAAATAAAATGTAGAATGAAAATGTTGTGTTATTTTGTATATGCTCATGGGTATGCTTTTTCAATGGGGAAAGGGGAATAACTCTAACTTTATTCATGTGACAAAGTCAAACAAAATGGCTTCCTATTACGAAGGACGACACAATATGAACCTGTAACGAGAAAATGGAAGGAATTAACCATGGAAACTATAATAAATAATCATAAATAATCATGTTTGGTTGAGGAAACATCATAGGAAAAACCATAGAACGATAATATCAGGTATGCTTGGCCTTTAAGAACACAATTCAAGGAGATATGTTATGAATTGTCGGAAGGAAAAAAGTCTCATTTCCTCTATATCTCTGTAATGTCCGCACCCCCTTTTTTGGATTGATTTTCGGTGAAAAAAAGTGCGGACATTACATGGGTTTTTACGGTATTATGCTCCCCTGGTAAAACCTGGTAACCCAAGTTACCTAGCTCCCCTGGTAACCCCAGTTAAAGTGCATCTTTGTTTATCCCTTTCATGTGCTCCTGGCATGGTTTGTATGTATGTAATAGACACAATTCTGTATTAGCTAAGTGAAGAATGGTTGTTTGCATGCTTAAAACATGGCCTGTTGTGTACAGTATGGTACATTAACATTTAATGTAGATGTGATTGATGCAAAGCAAAAAAATATAGAAGTTTGAATTTATGAGTACTGTCTATAGTTTAACTACATCTAAACTTGCTACACTTCTACATATGTGTACATGTTTCAGACCATCACAGTCTTGCCTGAAAAAACGATGACACTGTTCAATCATTATAAAGTCATCAATTATTTATAGTCACATTCCATTACTTTGGTAAATGTCACAATTGTAATGTGGAAACTGCAGCATTGATATGTAGCAGATGTGTGTTGTAATGTATATGAAAGCAACACAGCTTGTATACTTTATATGTAACACTGCTAGGAATACTAGCCACAATATACCACTCAGCTAGAGAGAACTTTGGAGAGATCTCTCATCAGAATAATAAGACAGAGGACCCGGGTTCAAATCCTATCAGAGGCATTTAAGTAACTCATGATTTCTGTTACAAATTACAATACTGCTGTAATAAAGGTATACAATGATATTATAACATCTTTGAAACACTATTGCATTCCTTTACTAATGCTGACTAGCAAAGAGTCCAGAACTCATTCTGGCATTGAGTACATTCACTCACTTAACACTGTAAAAACGCAGCTGTATTCATCCATTCAGGTTTTAACTTTGGTGCATTGCAGAGTTCTGTGATGTTTGCCAATTAGTGATTGATGTTTCCTGTTGGATCTCTAAGGACAGTGGGTAAAAGTTTTACGGGATTCCTTTTGGTGACATTATCTGACATCGCTCCCACCTCTCTTCAGGAAATGGAGTCCTATTGAGGTTTAACAGTGTTGTCTCTTACAACAGAAACTTGGTTGTCTGAGGACTATGATTACCCCTGGTTTCCTCAAGCAGCGAGATGTCACCTCTCAGAAACTTCTTGGACCTACTTAACCACATGATCATCACTGGCTAAGATGTCTGATACTAGGGTCATAGAACCACTATTAATTAACCACATTATCATCACTGGCTAAGATTTCTGATACTAGGGTCATAGAACCACTATTAATTAACCACATTATCATCACTGGCTAAGATGTCTGATACTAGGGTCATAGAACCACTATTAATTAACCACATTATCATCACTGGCTAAGATTTCTGATACTAGGGTCATAGAACCACTATTAATTAACCACATTATCATCACTGGCTAAGATTTCTGATACTAGGGTCATAGAACCACTATTAATTAACCACATTATCATCACTGGCTAAGATTTCTGATACTAGGGTCATAGAACCACTATTAATTAACCACATGATCATCACTGGCTAAGATTTCTGATACTAGGGTCATAGAACCACTATTAATTAACCACATTATCATCACTGGCTAAGATTTCTGATACTAGGGTCATAGAACCACTATTGGTCCGGTGGCGCAGTGTTAACGCACTCGCCTTTCACCAAGCCGACCGGGGTTCGATTCCCGGAACGGACGTGAAAAGGTAAGGGGCCACCTGCCGGACCACGTGGGTTTTTCCCGGGTACTCCGGTTTCCTCCCACAATAAGACCCCTCGCGCGCTTACATCCGGGCCAACAAGAGTGATTAGTATAAGTTGACATAACTTGTTTCGCAATTGTTGTAAAATAAATAAAGTTTATATTTATATTTATTAATTAACCACATTATCATCACTGGCTAAGATTTCTGATACTAGGGTCATAGAACCACTATTAATTAACCACATTATCATCACTGGCTAAGATTTCTGATACTAGGGTCATAGAACCACTATTAATTAACCACATTATCATCACTGGCTAAGATTTCTGATACTAGGGTCATAGAACCACTATTGACTACCAAATAATTATCACCATCTCTGACGGACTTTGTCATTTCATTTGCCCTGATCCTAGATTGCTGCCTTGCTTCAAGTTTAGGGGTGTGCACCTCCTCTTCGGTTGTGTCACAGGAAGCAAACAACTCTCAAACAGGAAGTAATAAATTCCTTGTCTGACCAACTACAGAGACAAGTGGTTTAGCCTGCTCCATCACTAAATCCATCATCAAACTTCCTCTCCCTTTCATGTACCATCCACATATTGTTTAATAGCTCCTGTTATTCGCTTGTCCTGTCTGATTCTGTATTAGCCAACATTCCTGGATGCAAGTCTAAAAAAAGATAGATTGCAGCTTAGTCTTCAGGAAGTCAATTTATGTGGAACATTTAACATCGTTTTCATCTCTTTCAATGTGAAAAGCCAAATACACAGGTAGTCTGTGTTTCTGACCAAACAAGAGAGAAAAAAAGGGCTATATCCAGTCTGTTCATGCCTCATGTAGTTGTAGGCAACTACAAGCTGTCCCACATGCTTATTCTAACTAGACTAATTTTCCAGCTCCAGAGTTCCCAGCATGTCCAATAAAGACTGATTAAAATACTCCTACATACCATTACAATTGGGATGATATGGTATTGTCCTGGATTTTCTAATTCTTGTTAACTCATAGAACTCATGCACCAGTTTTCCATCTAAATTTGGTTTTTGACTGAAGTGGAGATGTACAGGGAATCTAGGCATTGTCCTGTATATTCACATCAAATGGCACCACGTTATCATATCACAGAAATTACACAATGGCTTTGTGTCATTCTTACCCCAGGAAAGTCATCCTACCGCACTGTATATTAGACAAAACAACAATCAAGTTAATCAACCACATACGACTTTATTACTCAGTCTACCATCCACCACTCGATGACTTTTTGGCAGAAATTTTCTTTGATGAATTTTCTGACTGCTACTGATCGAAAACACAGGACACATTTTTCTCAAATTATGCACACAAATTGTCACTGTGCAGCATCAGTTTTGTTCCCAGATAGGGATGAAAATATGACCTTATGACCTTTTTAGAATTCAGGGTAAAAATGTTTATGCCAGATCATGTGTTAGGCAGCCATTTTAGACTTCAGAGTCAAAATTGTTACCACTGACTACATAGATATTTGTCTGAATTTGCACACAGATTTTCCTTAGGTCCTTGCCACCTTGTTGTGCAATACCAGTATCAGGTTCAGGGTCATTATTATTGGTCAGTGTGTCTAGGTATTTTCTGTCACATAATGCAAGGCTTTGATCCATTGCTTAAAGGCGAAACTGAATGCAGTAGTTAATGTATTAGTATGAAATTATGGAGAAAGAGGAAGATGATTGCTGTTAAAATTTCATTTTATGATAACTGTCTAATAGACTTTTATTTGATATCAATCCTGTGAGAAAAATTACCATTAAATGTGTGTGTGTTCAATGACCGGAGTTTTTACTCCACAAAAACTACGAGGGAAACACTAGTTTTTGATGATAATTCAGTTACGAAATCTTTTGTAATTTTTCAGATTACATGGATCAGCGCTGCAGTGAGACGTTGAACATGACAAAGTTAGGGATTGAATCGGCTAAACTGAAACTTACCAGATGGAGTAAATACAGGAATAACATGGCATGTTACCTGACCATCGAGGCCCCCGTCAACAAATTTATCATGATCACATTCCGTGATATTGACATCAAAAGTGGGATGTTTGACAGCTGTGAAGGAGATAGACTGCAAATCTTTGATGGCAGGGACTCATCTGTTAATATGGTTGGTGGTAAGTTTTATGATATTAAAAGGGCGAAGTCGGTAAGGAGATAATTTCCTGTTTTACACAGAACATCGCATGGAGATAAGTGAGTGTACTATGTGTACCTTAAAAAAGTACAGTAAGTATACTACCCCTTAGTAAAGTGCCTGATGTTAAATTTCGAAATTGATTCTGATTCAATTTAAGTGATTAAAATAAGGTAAAAGGTAACACACGGAACCTTTGATTTTTAGGTCACTGAGATAAAGTCTCATGGTGACCTATTGCAATTCATCTGATGTCGTGCATCTGTAAACAATTTAACATTTTAAACAAAATTAAGAATTAAATAGTCCCCACCCCACAGGGATCTGGGCTGGGCCAAAAGAGGTCAAATTGATTCTTCTCCTCAATATATGGTATGGTAGAATCAAATGCTCTCTATGGATGGAAGCGTCTTAAAGTGCTTTACCAAAATTGTGAATTTCATGGCCCCAGTGTCTCAATTTTCCCAGTAGGGAGGGGGTAAAGTTTACTATAGTTTATGTAGGAAAAATAGATTTTTGAGCATAATTTGTTTAATTTCCATTAGAAATATTTCAAGCTTAGTTAGAATTATGAATGAAGGATGACAGATTGATGGTACACCCATATTGATCCTTACTGACTCCCAGTGACTGATGGGTGTGGCCAAAAGGGGTCAAACTGACTTAAATTTCAAACATTTTCTCAACACCCAGGTACAGTAGAATCAAATGCTTACTGTATGAAAGTGCTTTAATTACCAAAATGGGGAGGAAGTTAATTTTACTGTAATTTTTATAGAAAATTGCATTTATTGAGCATAACATAGAAATAACTTTGTAAGAATTATTGATATAGTATTACAGTTTTGATGGTATGCATGGATTGACATTAGCTTACTATAATCAGTGTCACAATTTCTTTTTCATAACACTTAAAAGCTTCCTTTAACCTTTCTATTTAATATTACTTATCTCAGGCGACTGTCAAGGTCGCTAGACTTCTTGTTCACATTTATTAAAAAAAAGTTTCAGATTTTGAAGGATATTCATCTTACCCTTTCCCTCTCCTCGCCAATATTTTCTAACTTCCTGCACAATTATGACATTATATTAGCATCCCTAGTTGATTACTTTATACAAGACAATATGATTCACCAAATGTTTTCTTCATCTCTGCAAAATAATTTAGCCTGTGTTTTATTTCACTCTATTGGCAAAAGCACATAATGATTGGCAAAAATCTCACTTAACAGCATAATATTGCACATGGTGTTCTCACCATTGCTGTGATGACTAGCACTGTAAATTTGTTAATTTTTAGCCAACCATCATCAGATTGTAGGTTATTCAAATCGCTCTGCATCAGTGGTTTGTCAGTTCGTAAACAACTATTGTTATCACTATCTCTTGAGAAGTACTGGATGCATCTTTCTCAAATTGCATATATAGGTTTCCCCTGGTCCCTAGTTGTGTATATGTTTGATTTTATGACTGATCAAAAGAACAAAATGGTTGACAGGCAGCCATCTTGGATTTTTTCAATGAAGATTGTTATCGCTATTTCTTGAAAATGAAGAGATGGATCTCTCTCAAATTTTATATGTAGGTTCCCCTTGGTCTCTAGTTGTGCCCATGTAATTTTGGGACTGATCAGAAAAACTAAATTACTTAAAAATATGGTATCACTATTTCTGTAGAACTACAGCATAGATCTTTCTCAAATTTCATGTGTTTGTTTCTTTTGATCCTTAGTTTAGTTTGTTTGATTTTGGTATTTATTAGAAAAAGAAAATGGCCTACAGACGGCCATCTTTGAATTTGACTTCCAAAGACTGTTATCACTATTTCTTAAGAACTACTGCAGAGATTTTTCTCAAATTTCATGTACAGGTTCCTCTTGGTTCCTAGTTGTGCCTGTTTGAGTTTGAGACTGATCAGAAAAACAAAATGTCTGACAGGCAGCCATATATGATTTTGCCAAGTAAAGATTGTTATTCCTATTTCTTAAGAAGTGCAGAATGGATCTCTCTCAAATTTCATATGTATGTTCTCTTTGGTCTCTACTTGTGTCCATTTGGTTTGGGACTGATGAGAAGAAACAAAATGGCTTCCAGGCAACCATTTTGGATTTGGCAGGTGAAGATTATCATTGTTCTATATTTTATTATCCAATAGGATAAACAATACAAAATACGAAAATGTATTTCACAGCGACAGAGGCATCACGACTGATTTATTAAACAAACATGTAAATCATACACTAATCTGTTACAAATACACAATATACAATGTATGTATATATATGTCACTCCTTTCCATTAATAACTATTACATTCTACCGCAACAGAAACCCCACACAGATGAACTTCTATTACATTTTACCGTAAAATAAAACCCCACACAGTTGAAAAAAAAGAAGAAATTAATAATGATACATAAAAATTTCCACGTCCGTGTGTCCCTACCTGTGCCGCCTGAATGACACGTATAGGTAACACACGGTGGTACGACCCTGGTCTTAATTTGCATTTTGGTGACTCATACCACAGAGAAAATAATTTCACCCTAATTCCAACCTGTCAAATGGTTGAAATTATATCTATTTCTGCAAAGGAATGTTCAAATGTCTTATCATAAAGAACAAAAACAGAGAAGAAAAGGCAAGATAAAACTTTCAAAGAGCAAAAAAAAATCAAACAATGGTGGGCACCAAGATCTATCTGGGATCTCTTGTTTTTTAATTTTTGTTGATTTTGTAAGTACCCTTAATCCACAATTTTTGACATCTTAGAATTAGAAATCAAATGTCAAGTAATAATTTTGTGAGGTTGTATCCTCTTTGTCTCCAAAATCAAGTGCTTAAGAAATAGAATTTTGTTCAAAATTCAGTTTATGTTTTGATGATGTGATTAATCTTTCGAGAAATTGTTAAATAGTTTGATTTTCTGTTTGAAGGTCTGACCTACAAGTTGTGTGGTGAGCGACGTCCCAGAGGAGCTTTCTACACAACACAGAGGTATATGACCTTTTTGTTTGAAAGTGACTCATTCTTCACCGACGATGGATTCAGTCTTATCTTCACGTCCTTCCATACAGGTAAAGGGCTGGAAGTAACTTCAGTTTTATTTTTTAACATTAGCATGCACAAACATCTGAAAACCAAATGCTTGGATTAGGGACATTTATTAAGAAGCTTGCTGGTGTGGAATGATATAGAAGTTTATTTCAAGGATTCATGTGTAAGGCAAGAGGAGTCAAATTCAATTAAATAATAAAAAAGTCCTAAAGAACTCAACTGCATGAGTCCTATTTGGCCAATAAAATCTGCTCGCTGAGATGCAGATGGAAGTTTGTGGTCATTTAAATAATGTGAGTATCTTAGATATCGTTCATTTCATGATAATGCTATCTACTTGGCTAGGAACATGATTTGAACATGATTACATATCACATATTTTATTTAAAAAAATGTTTTCAACAATGAATATGTTTCAAATATTTCTAATTTACCATCAGTCTGTTGAAATCACTTTCCTTCACAAAGTCTTTTACACCAAAGACAGCTGTAATAAAGGTTTTTTTAGCTTCATGGAAGCATCACAAATTTCTGAAGATTCCCCATGATTCCTATTGAGTCAATTTTGAGATTGATCAAGAAAACAAAATGGCCATCATTTAAGTTGAAAATTATAATTGATTATCACTGAACAAACAGAGAAAAGAATTCAAAAGTTCCAGTTAAATGAAAGCACCGATAAAGATCACACCACTATGGGCACCAAGGTACCTCTGGATCCCTCTACGATCTCTTGTTTTGGTATCATATAATTTCAGTTAAGAAATCTGTAATACACCATGTAGAGATATTTAAGGTGAGAATGTTTTACTTGATAAGATTAAATGATTATCAACAAATTTCAGCTGATAATCCAACATAGTTGTTAGGTATACTGGTAATGTGCTAAGAGTGACGAGTGAGATGTAACATCAGTGATGACAAGTGACATAATACTCTCAAAACAGATGCTTAACCGCTGAGCAAAAGGGCAATTCCCACCAGTTGACTTTATACACTACACTCAATCCTATGTATACAACAATCCCACAAACTTTACAACAATTAATCTTGTATTTGTTTACTTGACAGGAATCTGCTTATCATCAGAAACAGCTTGTAAAAGGGGTCAGTGTATATCAAAGTCACTGGAGTGTGACGGGTACAACCAATGTGGGGATTCCACAGATGAATGTTCAATAACAGGAGGGCCTATTGCAGGAATCATTGTTGGTGCTATTATAGTTATCGCAGTCGTTATTGTGATATTTGTGTGCTGGCGTCGCAGGGCCACTCAAGGTGCTGTTATCAAGGTAAGTCATTGCAAAGCTGCTTAAACCACATCCATTAAAGTAACTCATCATAGGGCCTCTCCAGGCACAGTCATCAAGGTAAATCATCATAGAGCCTCTCAAGGCACAGCCATTAAATAACTCATCATGGGGCCTCTCAAGGCACAGTCATCAAAGTAACTCATCATGGGGCCTCTCCAGGCACAGTCATCAAGGTAAATCATCATAGGGCCTCTCAAGGCACAGTCATCAAAGTAACTCGTCATGGGGCCTCTCAAGGCACAGTCATCAAAGTAACTCATCATGGGGCCTCTCCAGGCACAGTCATCAAAGTAACTCATCATAGGGCCTCTCATGGGGCCTCTCAAGGCACAGTCATCAAGGTAAATCATCATAGGGCCTCTCATGGGGCCTCTCAAGGCACAGTCATCAAGGTAAATCATCATAGGACCTCTCATGGGGCCTCTCAAGGCACAGTCATCAAGGTAAATCATCATAGGGCCTCTCAAGGCACAGTCATCAAAGTAACTCATCATAGGGCCTCTCCAGGCACAGTCATCAAAGTAACTCATCATAGGGCCTCTCAAGGCACAGTCATCAAAGTAACTCATCATGGAGCCTCTCCAGGCACAGTCATCAAAGTAACTCATCATAGGGCCTCTCATGGGGCCTCTCAAGGCACAGTCATCAAAGTAACTCATCATAGGGCCTCTCAAGGCACAGCCATCAAGTTAAATCATCATAGGGCCTCTCAAGGCACAGTCATCAAAGTAACTCATCATGGAGCCTCTCAAGGCACAGTCATCAAGGTAAATCATCATAGGGCCTCTCAAGGCACAGTCATCAAGTTAAATCATCATAGGGCCTCTCAAGGCACAGTCATCAAAGTAACTCATCATGGAGCCTCTCAAGGCACAGTCATCAAAGTAACTCATCATGGAGCCTCTCCAGGCACAGTCATCAAAGTAACTCATCATAGGGCCTCTCATGGGGCCTCTCAAGGCACAGTCATCAAAGTAACTCATCATAGGGCCTCTCAAGGCACAGCCATCAAGTTAAATCATCATAGGGCCTCTCAAGGCACAGTCATCAAAGTAACTCATCATGGAGCCTCTCAAGGCACAGTCATCAAGGTAAATCATCATAGGGCCTCTCAAGGCACAGTCATCAAGTTAAATCATCATAGGGCCTCTCAAGGCACAGTCATCAAAGTAACTCATCATGGAGCCTCTCAAGGCACAGTCATCAAAGTAACTCATCATAAGGCCTCTCCAGGCACAGTCATCAAAGTAACTCATCATAAGGCCTCTCAAGGCACAGTCATCAAGGTAAATCATCATAGGGCCTCTCAAGTCACAGTCATCAAAGTAACTCATCATAGGGCCTCTCAAGGCACAGTCATCAAAGTAACTCATCATAGGGCCTCTCAAGGCACAGTCATCAAAGTAACTCATCATGGAGCCTCTCCAGGCACAGTCATCAAAGTAACTCATCATGGGGCCTCTCAAGGCACAGTCATCAAAGTAACTCATCATAGGGCCTCTCAAGGCACAGTCATCAAGTTAAATCATCATAGGGCCTCTCAAGGCACAGTCATCAAGGTAAATCATCATAGGGCCTCTCAAGGCACAGTCATCAAAGTAACTCATCATGGAGCCTCTCAAGGCACAGTCATCAAGGTAAATCATCATAGGGCCTCTCAAGGCACAGCCTTTAAAGTAACTCATCATAAGGCCTCTCAAGGCACAGTCATCAAAGTAACTCATCATAGGGCCTCTCAAGGCACAGTCATCAAGGTAAATCATCATAGGGCCTCTCAAGGCACAGTCATCAAGTTAAATCATCATAGAGCCTCTCAAGGCACAGCCATTAAATAACTCATCATAGGGCCTCTCAAGGCACAGCCTTTAAAGTAACTCATCATAAGGCCTCTCAAGTCACAGTCATCAAAGTAACTCATCATGGGGCCTCTCAAGGCACAGTCATCAAGTTAAATCATCATAGGGCCTCTCAAGGCACAGTCATCAAAGTAACTCATCATAGGGCCTCTCAAGGCACAGTCATCAAAGTAACTCATCATAAGGCCTCTCAAGGCACAGTCATCAAAGTAACTCATCATAGGGCCTCTCAAGGCACAGTCATCAAAGTAACTCATCATAGGGCCTCTCAAGGCACAGTCATCAAAGTAACTCATCATAGGGCCTCTCAAGGCACAGTCATCAAAGTAACTCATCATAAGGCCTCTCAAGGCACAGTCATCAAAGTAACTCATCATGGGGCCTCTCAAGGCACAGTCATCAAAGTAACTCATCATAGGGCCTCTCCAGGCACAGTCATCAAGGTAAATCATCATAGGGCCTATCAAGGCACAGCCATCAAGTTAAATCATCATAGGGCCTCTCAAGGCACAGCCATTAAATAACTCATCATAGGGCCTCTCAAGGCACAGCCTTTAAAGTAACTCATCATAAGGCCTCTCAAGGCACAGTCATCAAAGTAACTCATCATGGGGCCTCTCAAGGCACAGTCATCAAGTTAAATCATCATAGGGCCTCTCAAGGCACAGTCATCAAAGTAACTCATCATGGGGCCTCTCAAGGCACAGTCATCAAGGTAAATCATCATAGGGCCTCTCAAGGCACAGTCATCAAGGTAAATCATCATAGGGCCTCTCAAGGCACAGTCATCAAGTTAAATCATCATAGGGCCTCTCAAGGCACAGTCATCAAAGTAACTCATCATGGGGCCTCTCAAGGCACAGTCATCAAGGTAAATCATCATAGGGCCTCTCAAGGCACAGTCATCAAGGTAAATCATCATAGGGCCTCTCAAGGCACAGTCATCAAGTTAAATCATCATAGGGCCTCTCAAGGCACAGCCTTTAAAGTAACTCATCATAAGGCCTCTCAAGGCACAGTCATCAAGGTAAATCATCATAGGGCCTCTCAAGGCACAGCCATCAAAGTAACTCATCATAGGGCCTCTCAAGGCACAGCCATCAAGTTAAATCATCATAGGGCCTCTCAAGGCACAGTCATCAAGTTAAATCATCATAGGGCCTCTCAAGGCACAGCCTTTAAAGTAACTCATCATAGGGCCTCTCAAGGCACAGTCATCAAGGTAAATCATCATAGGGCCTCTCAAGGCACAGCCATCAAAGTAACTCATCATAGGGCCTCTCAAGGCACAGCCATCAAGTTAAATCATCATAGGGCCTCTCAAGGCACAGCCATTAAATAACTCATCATAGGGCCTCTCAAGGCACAGCCATTAAAGTAACTCATCATAGGGCCTTTCAAGGCACAGCCATTAAAGTAACTCATGATAGGGCCTCTAAAGACACCATATCTCTCTATCTGTCCAAGGGGATTTCTGGGTTAAGATAGAAAAATCTGTTGAACTTATCTTACAAACTTTGTATATGTATGAGAGTAGTGACCTTGTTGTGCCTATAGCTACTGATGAAATTTCATTTTTGTTGTTTAACTATTTAGAAGTTATTCTGGTCTATAACATAAAAACTGTTCAGCTGACATCTACAGGAAAGGTATGCTTTGTGCCGCCTTGTTTAATGGTTTGTTTGTACTTTTTTTTTGTGATTTCATTTCATTTCATGATATTGGTATTTTTCAGTACAACTCACCAACAGAGCAGGCTACTGTAATACCACCTCCAAGCTCCTACCCAGTCCAGCCCGTTCCTGCTCCACAAGCCTACCCTCAAGCACCCTATCAGCCACCACCACTACAAGGTTACCCACAGCCTCCACCGCAAGGCTATCCCCCAGCCCCGCAGCCTTACCCTACTGGACCACAGGCTTATGCCCCTCCCCAGCAGCCCTATCAGACAATGCCTCCAAGTTACAACGATGCCACGCAGAACCCATACCCGTACGGAGCCCCAGGTACAGCCCCCTATCCTCCGGAACCAAAATAAAGAACGGACCTAAAGATGTACACTGAAACCACAATATAACCTGTGATTCACCTCTTTATTCTGAGCAACATCAAAAAGGTTTGGATGGCAGCAAGAGTATGGGATCTTCACATCAATGGAAACAAGTTGTATATGATTACTGAGAGCAATATGCCAATGTGCCTAGTGGTACAAGAATTGCTCTCAGGCTCTACTACTGAGTAAGACTAAAAATAGATAGTCTTAAAATCTTCTACACAATAGTTTATCAAAGTGAATACTAATCTTTATAGAAATATCACTTCAGTTAATTTGGAAATCACAAGCCTTTTAAACTATAATGTCTGTACAGATATTTGATTGATAGCATTCCCCCATACTATGGGCCCAGGTCCTGTATGTCCAAATATGTCAACGTCTTTATCCTGTTTTTTTCAATTATACATTGTGTAATGTAATTGTTCTTAATCAGTAGTTGTACGACAAACAGTACAATGTCACTAACACTTCAATGTGCCTACAAGTTCAACATAACCCAGTACCAATAAAATAACGTCAAATGTTTACAGTTACCATGGTAATTAACCTTGCCCATCAGCAGTATACATCAATGTTAGCCTTTTTCATATGAATGAGTTGTGCACATTTAGAAAGGCCCTGGGAAAATACAGTCTGAGTGAAATATGATCTTTAATGCCAATATGAAATTATTGATGTTTTAGTGTACAAAATCTCAAAATAATAAAACATTTTTAATTGTTTATTTACTACATGATATATAAATATGCAAGTGCAGTGTATCTTAAGTTTGATGATTGTTCAGTTGCTGTGGTATCTAAATGGTTGAAACAAAAAGCTGTACCAAGGTAGTAGTTTTGAGTCTGACAACCTGAACATTTTCATTAGTTGTGTTTCTTCAACCTTTGGGATGGACAAAAACAACTGCTTGATATGGAAGAATAAAGTAAAACAAAAAGAGGATTAGCTTTCTGTCTTATCTAGGTTATATTGGATAATTACACTTTAATTTGGATAAATTTGGCATAAATGACTTGATCAGGTATTAGAATTATCTGAGTTCGATTATAGTTATCCCCTGTTTTGTAAACAAAATAGAAAATTAACAAATGAAAAATACTAATTGATAAAATTAACACTATGACTTCTCACCTGTAAGGTCTTGTCATATTATTGGCCATTTCTGCTGATCAGCATCTTAAGGATGGGTCCGTTCAGTCACACAAACTTAGTCAATTTTCTGTAGTCTTGGTATCCTACTAGGAAAACATATTTTGCAGATTTTATTTTTTGGGGTAAATGTTATCCCTAGATATACTTTCGTGAATTTTATTGCTAGATTTGAAAATGGAAACAAGTCTAGAATACCATGTGATAGAGGTTATATGTACTTTGTATAGCATTTAATGGCATCCCTAGTTAGGTTGGTAGAGTGTTGGCCTGTATAGCATTTAATGGCATCCCTAGTTAGGTTGGTAGAGTGTTGGCCTGTATAGCATTTAATGGCATCCCTAGTTAGGTTGGTAGAGTGTTGGCCTACAAAACCTCAGATGAAGATATGAGGTGAATTGTTCAATACTTCCTACCTGGTGGCAGTTTGTTTCTCAGGAAATGGAGCAGTCTGTGTTGTCGTGATTGTGTCCTTATGTAAGACACTGTACCCTAAATGCTCTAGATGGCATGTGACAGATCTTCTGTATGTTGTTCAGTGAGGTAGCTACCAGCTACAACAAAACAAAAACCCAAAATGGCCCTGACTGTTCACAGCAGGATATACACAGCAAACCATTATAGCATTTTAACAGAAATGGCAATTTGTAAATACAATAAAATGTGTAATTGTTATTGTTATTAACAGTGAGGATTCTTAAAAGATGTTGTAAAATTACCTATCTTCAGTGTTTGCCTTGTCTCTTCATACTGTTTTACACTTTCTGAAAAAAAGTTGTTATTATGATATAATTCAGTTCTCAACTCCGATCTATTTATAGCCAGAGATTTTAAACATGATTTTTTTATGATCTAAGACTTCTATTGTGATCTATTAATAACCTTCAGTCGCTATCTGATCTATTTATAACCCTAGGATTCTACTCTGATCTATTTATAACCCTAGGATTCTACTCTGATCTATTTATAACCCTAGGATTCTACTCTGATCTATTTATAACCTTAGGATTCTACTCTGATCTACTTATAATGTTAAGTCTCTACACTGATCTATTTATAACTATGAATCCACAATCTGTATATAACTGTGCTTTCAGGTTTACCTGTGATCACATCATATGTCTCTGTTGTAATGATGAAAATCAAACATAATTTAGTTTTCTGTATACAAACAACTCTTCTGTTTTTAAATTGACTACTTCAAAATCTGCATCTCAGTAAAAGTGAATGATTCTAGTTTCTTCCCTTTAGTTCTGTAAGCTTTGATTGTTCTGTTGGTAGTATATGGTCTGTCCAAAACATTGGTGATAGCCCCAGTTTGTGGACTAGTTCATATTCAGCCTCTGTTTGATAAAAGATGTTATTTACTGTTATTTGTGTTGCAATTTTTTTGTCTTCTCAGGCATGTACAGTACTTTGTTTATACATGAAGTCTTTTTTGTCCTGTAAACATTGATTGTTTGTATATTATCATATCTATTGAGACATTTCCATGTTTTTAATTTCCATGAAAGCTTTGGGTAAGATATGTTTTGATGATAGTACTTGATATGAATGTTTAAGGAATACTAGTGACAGAACTTCTACCACTAAGTGTTCTTTGTGCATAGCATATTTTTTTTTCTCTCTTTTATATACGTTTTTACCACATTTATCATTGCATCATATCTACAATCTAATTGCTAGAGTCGGTCACCTTGGTGTGATATGGACAGAGATATGTTAACCAAAGAGCAGTGATAACTGTCTCCCAAAACACAATGGCGATTGATTATGCTTTTTTAATTCTGTATAATAATGGAAGTTGTTGTTGTGAAATGCATAATAACATTGTCAATGTCCCATAAAAATTGTTTTAGAATTGATAATGTTGCACATTTTGATGTCAAAGTTAATGTCAGCTGTCTTGGAGAGAATGGCAGATTTGCCTTTCCATAGCAGACAAGAGAATGCACCTGTGAAATGTTAGAGAAGGCTCTTTATCTATATGTACTTTGTGTATTGTGTTGGGATACCAAGGAATCCAAAAAATAGAATCTATTCAGAGTTTAGTTTAACATGCAACCTTCACCAAATTATTACTTGCAGCCTCATTAGAAATTTGTCTGTCTGTGATTGTAGGAAGAGTTTAAATGAGCCAACATTCAAAAACAATGTCACTTTTAGTTGGTGTTTACATCAGTTAAAACTGTTGAGAGTCAGAATACAAATGACAAATCCTCTTCACTACTGAGACCAACCATCGCCCTCTAGAGTTCGATGTTTAGTAATCCAGTATGTATTCCATAATTTGATACAGTATAACCTTGTGATGCATGGATTTGTAACCGTTTTTAACTTGTAGACAAGTTTTTATAAAAATTCTTTGTATGATGTACAGTTGGATATAAAGATTGTTATGTATGATTTATATGATGTTTTATCAATGAAAGACATTGGAATGGGTAAAAAGGAAATACATGAAAATTAAGTGTCTTGATATACATATATGGACACAGAGAATTATAATAATAATTTATGCAAATTAAGAATTTAATCAAATCTCTTGATAAAAAAGATCTCTGTGGTATGAAAACCAAATATTTAAAGAAAAGTGTTGACCATTCTGTAATTTCCAGTCTCTTTGTTCAACCTTAGGTCAATCCTCAAAACAATTTAATTGGGTGGGGGGGCAGACTTCAGTGGAATGTGCTTTCCTCTGTTATAACCAATTATGTCCTTTGATATGCTACAAATAGTGCACATATTTAACAATATTTTGTATTTGTTGTACCATATCTAACCTAGTTAATAATACTGATTGTCCAACCTCACAGTTCAATAATTGGGACATTTTGACATACTTTTAACATATGTAACAATTGTGTTCTTATTTTAAAGTCTAAATCGTCCTCAACACTTTAAGTTACATAAATGTTTTGCACATTTGATAGAATATCATTTGTTGTAATTAACTACACTTTTCTTTACTATACATTGAAGCTTTGTGCTTTGATAGGGATAATAAATACAAGACTTACAGCAAAATGTATCGCTTGATGAGATCATATCTGCATTAGAAGTAAACCAGATTTGATTTTAAAACCTTAGAGATGTATGTACTTTTTAAATCTTATTGAAATCACTACTTAAAGCTCCTGATGAGGGCGGCTTGGAGGTTGAAGCATGTCGACAACTCCTTAACTAAATTTTAAAAATGTGATGGTATAGATATTGAGGTACTTTATTTCAAGATATCATTTTTTAAAGGTTTGTAACCTATTACTTTTAAGAAGATGAGAAGTCTTGTTAAACGATCGATATTTGTAATTTAAGTACACATGTTTAGATGTGTAGCACTTAATTCTGTCACAAATTTCACAATAAACTCAAGGTCTGAAATTTGCCCATCCTCTTTCTTTCACAATTTCATAAATTGTAATTATATGAAATGGTGGTTGGTGAGACATGTAATATAATATCTATATCATTATCACACACTTAAATATGAAACTAACATTTTATGCTCACTTCAATAAGATAGCTAGGACAGTTTGATGAAGGTCTGAAAATCTCCGCATTTTTTATGTAAGTTACGATACAGTGAGCAGAGATGATGTGAAATCAGCAGTGAGTGAATACTGCTTCCTGTATGTTCATATGTAAGCTATGTGAGGTCATAAAGGTCATATGATCTTACACCAGAATAAACTATAGCCCTTAATCAGGGATAAGGGAGCAAGAACCTAGAACCCTAACAATGGATTAATTTCTCTGGTAAGGTCAATTTAAATTTTTTTGGCTTCATTTTGTTTATTTTGTCATGTGTAATATTGCAACACCAGGTTGAGTGACAAAGGCACCCTAACATAATGACAAATACTTGCTACATGAGAATTTTAAAAGAAAATATCTATATACCTTATATACAAGCCTGAAGCATAATTATGTATATGTCATAATTTCTGTGGTTAAAGGTTTAAACATTTTTATCATACATCAGAAAATGCCAGTAATGCTTGCTTTTAATAGTCACTCAAAAAAGGCAATTTTTGGACCATGTGTTACTTCTGGTTTTATAAATGGTCAAAAAATGGTCTAGGTAGCTTTTTTGTACAAATAAATTTTGCATAATGATTAAAAGCTTATTAAATGCTTTATTGTATGAGAAGCTTATTATCTCCCTTGGTCTGCTCCGGTGTGTAGTAGATATTGATTCAAATAACATTGAACTATTTGTAGGTGTTTTTGCCTTTGATAGAGCTCATATTTGACATACATGTACTTTGTATACAGTATTGATTTAAATTTAGATTAGTCATTTTAATCATCTTCATTTTCAAAACAACTTACATGTACCAGGAATTTTACATATGTATTTTGTGGTTGTCAACTTTTAGACATTCTGTTTATAATGCAATTTTCAAAATTATATATATATTTCTGTGTCTGCAATGTCTATAGCAACAGTGGCATTATCATTGATGATTGTTTAACCTCATCCATCAAGATAATTACTGTGTTTCAAAGAAAATAACTCAGATATTTATGTATTCTTGTTCATTAATGAAAAAAAAAATGTTCCTGGAAAGTAAAAAATAAGGCTTTCTGCACAGTTTTGTACATTTTCAGTTAGAAAAAGGCATATGTTCTAGAATGTACTATTTCTGACCAGAAAACAGTGGCGTGTGTACTAGAATGTACTATTTCTGACCAGAAAACAGTGGTGTGTGTATTAGAATGTACCATTTCTGACCAGAAAACAGTGGTGTGTGTACAGGAATGTACCATTTCTGACCAGAAAACAGTGGCGTGTGTACTAGAATGTACTATTTCTGATCAGAAAACAGTGGTGTGTGTACTAGAATGTAGTATTTCTGACCAGAAAACAGTGGCGTGTGTACTAGAATGTAATATTTCTGATCAGAAAACAGTGGTGTGTGTACTAGAATGTACTCTTTCTGATCAGAAAACAGTGGCGTGTGTACTAGATTGTACCATTTCTGACCAGAAAACAGTGGTGTGTGTACTAGAATGTACCATTTCTGACCAGAAAACAGTGGTGTGTGTACTAGAATGTACTATTTCTGATCAGAAAACAGTGGTGTGTGTACTAGAATGTACCATTTCTGACCAGAAAACAGTGGTGTGTGTACTAGAATGTAGTATTTCTGACCAGAAAACAGTGGCGTGTGTACTAGAATGTAATATTTCTGATCAGAAAACAGTGGTGTGTGTACTAGAATGTACTCTTTCTGATCAGAAAACAGTGGCGTGTGTACTAGATTGTACCATTTCTGACCAGAAAACAGTGGCAAGTGTACTAGAATGTAGTATTTCTGATCAGAAAACAGTGGTGTGTGTACTAGAATGTAGTATTTCTGACCAGAAAACAGTGGCGTGTGTACTAGAATGTACTATTTCTGATCAGAAAACAGTGGCGTGTGTACTAGAATGTACTATTTCTGATCAGAAAACAGTGGTGTGTGTACTAGAATGTAGTATTTCTGACCAGAAAACAGTGGCGTGTGTACTAGAATGTAATATTTCTGAGAAAACAGTGGTGTGTGTACTACTAGAATGTACCATTTCTGACCAGAAAAACAGTGGCGTGTGTACTAGAATGTAATATTTCTGATCAGAAAACAGTGGTGTGTGTACTAGAATGTACATCAGAAAACAGTGGCGTGTGTACTAGATTGTACCATTTCTGACCAGAAAACAGTGGCGTGTGTACTAGAATGTACCATTTCTGACCAGAAAACAGTGGTGTGTGTACTAGAATGTACCATTTCTGTCCAGAAAACAGTGGTGTGTGTACTAGAATGTACTATTTCTGATCAGAAAAGAGGCATATGTTCTAGAATGTGCTATTTCTGATCAGAAAACAGTGGTGTGTGTACTAGAATGTACTATTTCTGACCAGAAAACAGTGGCAAGTGTACTAGAATGTACTATTTCTGATCAGAAAACAGTGGCGTGTGTACTAGAATGTACCATTTCTGACCAGAAAACAGTGGCGTGTGTACTAGAATGTACCATTTCTGACCAGAAAACAGTGGCGTGTGTACTAGTATGTACCATTTCTGACCACAAAACAGTGGCGTGTGTACTAGTATGTACCATTTCTGACCAGAAAACAGTGGCGTGTGTACTAGTATGTACCATTTCTGACCAGAAAACAGTGGCGTGTGTACTAGATTGTACTATTTCTGACCAGAAAACAGTGGAGTGTGTACTAGAATGTACTATTTCTGACCACAAAACAGTGGCGTGTGTACTAGTATGTACCATTTCTGACCACAAAACAGTGGTGTGTGTACTAGAATGTACTATTTCTGATCAGAAAACAGTGGTGTGTGTACTAGAATGTACAATATGTACAATTTCTGATAAATCACATTAAAAGTTGCAGAAAGAATCTCAGTAAAATTCTGATCTAACCAGGAATTAAACTTAGATAGAAATATGTACCCTTTACTTTGGAATGTTATCAACTATTACAAGTTTTGATAAAATTTATGTAAATAAGGTGTTGATAATTATAATGTTTAGTATACTTTGAAAAAAATAGCTAGAGCACAGAAATACACTAGGTATAATTTGTTGTGGGATTTTACATTCTGTTGCTTTTCCACATAAACAAATATTTCTATTTTGAAAAGTGTGTCTTTATAGAATAAGATGGTCTAGGAAATTGCCCTGAAAATCCAACCTTTCCCTGCTGTTATTGTTATTGTGTTTTTGTTGATGATTTCTAAATGTTGATTTAGTGACCAAACATAACATGTACCACCTTAATGTTCAGTTATCTTTCCATTGAATAAATTATCACCCATTCATATGTGTGTTTCATCTTCATTCTTCTCAGTGAAAATCTGAAAACTTTTGTTATGATAAATATTTTTGGCCTGTTCCATGTACAAGTTGTAACCCTGGTAAATATTTAAATGGAAAAAGAAATTGTATATACTTTAAAATTTCATGGAAAAAAATATATGTATATTTTATGTTTTCACGTATCAATGCTCATTTGATTAATGAAAACTTTGAACTTTGCTTTCGTTACACTTCAATGGTCGGCACACGCTTTTTCAGAGTTTTGGAAATAGGGGCCAAAACCCTCCGATGTTGGACGCAGTTTGACTTCTACAGTTTCATGTGTCGTAGATGGAATCTGTTCATTGAAAGAACGCCTTTTCGTCCCAGTACCAATCTCGCAATGCAGGCAGTCCAAAGGACATTAGATGTAACATCCATTTACCTTGTAATAATACGATGACTCAGTCTTACACTCGGTGGTGGAATGGATGATACGTTAACCGTTTTCAGAAGTTTCATTAATGATAAATTCTGTTTATAATTCACTTTTATCTTGCTTTGTTGGAAACTGTTAATTTTTAGGTGGTTTTTAAGGGTGTGTAGTCCTTAAGTTTTGTCTTCAATCTTGAAGAAGTGATGATTTTCGGGAGTGGGCAAAGGACACGGACACATAGAAAAAGGAACAACAGTTACTGCAGTAGACAGAATAACTGATTATTGTAGAAACACGACAAACGATGGTGAGATAGGGAAAATGGAAACAATATCTAAAATCATAGTGTGACAGCGATATAGAAAATAACGTAGTAGAGTGGAGACAACACCGCAAACCAACGGAGTTGAGTGGATGGAGCACCAGAAACTGTGGTGTGCAGCAGAAATAAGCATCACAAACAACAGACAACAATGTAAAGGTGGTGACCAAAACATTGGAATGGATTGGAAACAATCACCACAAACACCAGACAACAATGAAAATACTATTATAAGTGGACATTGAAACAATGATGAGGAGTGGACATTGGAAACTACGATGAGGAGTGGACATTGGAAACTATGAAGAGGAGTGGACATTGGAAACTACAATGAGGAGTGGACATTGGAAACAACAATGAGAAGTGGACATTGGAAACTATAATGAGAAGTGGACATTGGAAACTACAATGAGGAGTGGACATTGGAAACAACAATGAGAAGTGGACATTGGAAACTACAATGAGGAGTGGACATTGGAAGCTACGATGAGGAGTGGACATTTGAAACTATGATGAGGATTCGGAATTGAAAACAAAGATGAGGAGTGGACATTCGAAACAAAGATGAGGAGTGGACAATTGGAAACTATGATGAGGAGTGGACATCGGAAACAACGATGAGGAGTGGACATTGGAAACTATGATGAGGATTCGGAATTGAAAACAAAGATGAGGAGTGGACATTCGAAACAAAGATGAGGAGTGGACATCGGAAACTACGATGAGGAGTGGACATTGGAAACTACGATGAGAAGTGGACATTGGAAACAAAGATGAGGAACGGACATTGGAAACTGATGAGGAGTGGACATTGGAAACTATGATGAGGATTCAGAATTGGAAACTACGATGAGTGGAGGAAACACAACCAATAGGAGCGTAGAAGTGGACTATTAAATCATTGGATAAAGGTGCGGGATCACCACAAACAGCAGACCGAAAGGGACGTTGGACAACGTAAATTGCACCACCGACAGGGTTGTGAAGGGGACATTTAAAAAATGAGTAGTATAAAGAGGAAAAAATAAACAACGGTTTGAAGGTGAAAGAGAAAATAGCGGTATATAAACAACAATGATATTTTGATGTTAACCTTGTGTTTTGTTCCATAATCACCTCGAATTAAATTCGGTCGATAGCCTTATAAGACGGTTTATAGATATCAAAGAGATTAGTTCCCAAATTACTGGTATACTACGGGTATGAGGTACTGGACCGAATCCGATCACAGTCATATCTTAATGAGGCACAGGTTTTTAACAGTAGGAGCGTTACACGAATACTTTATTTCGCGAACTCGCCTCTTTAGGAATATTTGCAAATTTGTTATTTCGCAAACTCTAACTTAACTTGTAAAGTAAATAAACATTAAATAAAGATTCCGCAATCAAGACATATTTCGCACTAGTGTCTGACCTCCACCATTGGTTCACAACTGTAGTATGAATGATATTCTTTTTTTTCACAATCTATTTTTGTTCTACTGAGAAATGCAGGCCATTTAAAAACAATTGAAAATGGACATTGACAGACCTTGGGACTACAGTGATGTAGAGTGAGATGTTGTTGGACTAGGGACTACAGTGATGTAGAGTGAGATGTTGTCGGACTAGGGACTACAGTGATGTAGAGTGAGATGTTGTTGGACTAGGGACTACAGTGATGTAGAGTGAGATGTTGTTGGACTAGGGACTACAGTGATGTAGAGTGAGATGTTGTTGGACTAGGGACTACAGTGATGTAGAGTGAGATGTTGTTGGACTAGGGACTACAGTGATGTAGAGTGAGATGTTGTTGGACTAGGGACTACAGTGATGTAGAGTGAGATGTTGTTGGACTAGGGACTACAGTGATGTAGAGTGAGATGTTGTTGGACTACAGTGATGTAGAGTGAGATATTGTTGGACTAGGGACTACAGTGATGTAGAGTGAGATGTTGTTGGACTAGGGACTACAGTGATGTAGAGTGAGATGTTGTTGGACTAGGGACTACAGTGATGTAGAGTGAGATGTTGTCGGACTAGGGACTACAGTGATGTAGAGTGAGATGTTGTTGGACTA